AGACCTGATCACGTTGGCTGCTTCTTCTTTGAGTGTAGGGGGACTGTTCGTGGGGAGATACAGGACTGGAGGGGCCTGGTCTGGGCTGCTGTTGCAGTAACTGCATTGCGTTTTGGGCCGAGTTAACCAACAAACCAACCGAGCAGATGCATGTATCTCGATGGAAAAATCAAGTAGATGAACCAGTGATGGATAGATGCTGCCTGCTGCACTGATCTGTCTTTGTCTCTGATCTCAGTGTTTGTAGATTGGATTTACTGTAGGTCAAGATCTGAATGTCCATGTGCACACGTGTGTTTGCCTGATTGCACTTGAGATTGTTTGATCAATGTGGAAACATCTGATTCTGTTTGTTACCATGATTAATTTCAGTCATTGTATACTCGTCTAGAATCTTGATTTTTAGAGAGAATGTGTGTGAGGTGTCAAAATTACTACTGACAGAAATCATTGTTTGTTGTTGGAGTCTTATACCTGCGTATGGCTTAATATCTCTCTGATTTTGTCACTAATGGTGGACAACACCATGTGTGAGTGTGTATGTGTTTGGGGGGGTTACAACAGTTTGTCTTGAGTGTGTATCCACCTATAACCCACATGGTTGTTGCCCTGTCCTGCTGTAGACTCTGTGGTGGTGCTCGAGGAGGGGTCAGGGGTCACTACAGCACACACGCCATCTGATTGGCTAGAGAGTGAAGAGTTTGAGCCAATTACCTCTGATCCCATCTTCATGTCTGCAGACAAGTTCACCAAGACCCCGCCGCCTGGAACGCTCAGCAGGGTAAGAAGTTGGTGCACATTTTTTTAAAATTTTGCACACAAAACAGGGCATGCATCTTCCACTGACTTGATCGTATCAAGAGTAATCAAAATACTATATGTTGTACAGCATGATAAACTAACCACCTGTTGTTTAGCCATCAGCTGATACACTCCTCTAATCTTTCTCCTCCAGTCCTCCTCAACCTCCAGTCAAGATGATGAAAAGTCCACGCTGGAGGAAGTGAGTGAGGGAGCGATCCCAATCGATCAGCCCACTGCGGGACCCTCCACCCCAGGCAGTCAGGGGCCTGAGCTTCCCTTCCAGACCCACACTCAATCCCAGGGTCATGGACTCAACAAGTCCAGCTCCTCTCCGGAGCTCCAAACCTTACCCGAAGCCTTCTCCAAGGCAGCTATGGAGTCTGAGACTGCGCCAGGAGACACATTGTGGCCCAAAGCACCTTCCTTAGATGGCAAGCCTCAGCCCCAGCAGCCTCATTTTGAGAAAGAGAAGGTGGAGGGACTCACAGGAGGGGACGTTAATGGACCGGGTGGTCAGAGTCAAGGGCCTGAAGCCCCAGGTGTAGTGCCATCTCAAAGTGGAGGAGCAAGGATGAGGTTGGAGTTTCCAGCAGCAGCGGCGCAACCTGGACCCATCTCCCCAAGTGGAGGCCACAGACCGCGGGGTCACACCATCTCAGTATCAGCCCCTTCCTCCAGGAGGGAGAGGAGGACAGACAGGGACTCGTACCATAGTCGACCCGGACCCAGCAACACAGAGAAGATCTCTGGACTGAGCCCCAGGTACTTCAACGCTTGCACAAAAAACTACTGCAGCAGCTGTCGTCTGTTAATGGCAATTAAGTGATGCAATTTATTAACAAAACTCAGTAAGCTAATCTCTGCTCTGATGTGAAGAGGCAGCCTGCCAATAATCATGTTCTAAAACCCTGTTTGAGATGATGAAAAATCAGAATTGCAGGGTTGAAATGAATCTTTGAAAATGAAAAGCACTTAAAAAATGAAGAGATGATAGACTGTTTCCTAAAATATGGAATAGAACATAGTCTTAACTAAGCTGTATTATTGTTCAGATTTTAATACATTTCTTTATTTGTATGTTAACACCATGTCCATTCATGGATTCAATGCCTATGAATCACAGATCTATTCTGTGCTTTTTTTTTAATTCTTATACCTGAGCCCAACACTTATTTTTCTCTGTCGACTTCATGTCTCCTCTAGCTTTGTCTTCCTCCAGCTGTACCACTCTCCTTTCTTCGGGAACGAAGCCAACAAGCCGCTGTTGCTCCCCAAAACTCAGGTTAGTTGACCTCTCTGACTGACCTGGAATCTGCTTTAAGTGTGTTTTTACACATCGTTTACAATGTTTAATCTCTGTGGTAGGTGATTGATCGTGCTGTGAAGGTCCTGGACCAGATGCCTCCTTATGACACCCATAAGATCGGAGTGGTGTTTGTTGGAGCTGGTCAGGTGAGAACACAATGTCATTGATTGACTGTTTTAACTGAATATTACTGGGAGATAACTTCTGTTGTCTGTGGCTTCACACCTTCATCCTCTCCTCTCTCTTCAGGTCAACAATGAGGTCGCCATTCTGTCAAACGAGTACGGTTCAAACCGCTACGCCGCCTTTCTAACAGGCCTGGGCAAACTAATCCATCTGAAAGACTGTGACCCCGACCAGATCTTCCTTGGAGGGCTTGACCAGTACGGAGACGACGGAGAGTTCACCTACTGCTGGCATGACGACATCATGCAGGGTGAGCGTGCGTGTGTGAGACAGGGAAAGGAATCACATTTATGGTGATTTAATAAGTCTTTGTTTTTACACAGCTAGTCTGCGTGTTACCTCTGCAAAGGTGGTTATGTTTTTGGTTTGGTTGGTTGGTTTGTTGTTTGTCAGCAGGGTTATGGAAAAACTACTGGCCCGACTCTCATGATCTTGATGGAAGGGTGCAGCATGGGCCGAGGAAGAGCCCATTCAATTTTGAATTCATTGTAAATCCGAATCACAGGGTGGATAAACAAATTATTTTTAATGAATGCACAGCTGCGATGATGAGGCCTCAGCTAAGCACAACCATATTTTGACATAATTCAGATAGTTTTGGAAATGTATCCAGACATATGTAGCGAATGCTCTTGCAGATTTGCATATCGTAAAAGACTGGACTATTGGCCTTGGTGGAGGTCGCTGCTCTCTGAGTGCCTTCCTAGTTACTAATGCAGTCCTGTCTCTGCAGCTATCTTCCACATAGCCACACTGATGCCAAACAAGGAGAGCGACAAGGGCTGCTGCAACAAAAAGCGTCACATTGGCAACGATTTTGTCATGGTGGTGTACAATGACTCTGGAGAGGAGTACAAACTTGGCACCATAAAGGTACATGGACACACATATGCACACGTCTAAAAGTGTATAGTATATATTTTGTACTTTGACACCAATCTCTTGTCCTTTTCCCGCTCCTGTTAGGGTCAGTTTAACTTCGTAGAAGTCATTATAAAACCACTGGATTATGAATGTAACCTTGTCACCCTCCAGTGCCGCAAAGGTAAGCTGATCACTGTGTTTCCTCTGGCGTGTCCTTTGACAGTGTTCTGTTTTTCTTTTATTCCTCCTCTTGTTCTCTCTTTCAGACCTGGAGGGATTAGTTGACACCACAGTGGCCAAAATCGTTTCAGATCGGAACCTTCCACTGTTAGTCAGACAGATGGCTCTACATGCTAATGTAAGTCTTTACCCTAATCTCCCCCTCTCACTCCCAGTCACATCTACACACACTCACTCCTCTTTGTCTCCCCGCAGATGGCGTCTTTAGTCCATCAGTACAGAGCCAACCCGTCCGATGCTTATGCCTCTAAGTGGCTGGCTAGATTAAGGCATATAAAGAGAATAAGGACAAGGGTAAGAAAACACACAAACAACAAAGAGAATAACCTTCATCACTGTCAAATTAATGGCATTATACATTTCATCCATCTTGCTTTCTTTCTGCTCTGGCTCAGGCCCAGGAGGACATCCAGTCACGTTCGACTCCTGGCATCTCTCTGACCCAGGGACATGCTCAGCCAAACAAGGCATTACAGCAGAGCACTCCACCACCAAACCCCGAAACCAGCGGGCAGAGAAAGAGACTTGTATCCACAGTTGATGATTTTACGGATTTTGTTTGATGACATTACACACACTCACACACACACACACACACACACACACACACACACACAAACTGCAGACATGCACACACTTGCCTCAAAGCAGAGACGAGTTTACTTTCACTTCTCTGTTACCCCTTGTCCCCCACATGAGCTCTGGTTCTTGAAGTGGTTCCCTTCAGGATTCTTGGAACCTTGGTGCTATCTAGCAAACCAGCGTGTTTCCAACAGTTTTGCACAGAACCATTATAATCAAGGATGTATAATCAACGGAGGGTGCCGGCACAATGCACAATGGAAGTAATCAGTAGTAGCAAAATTGCTAATTTGCATCGAGTACCTGCAAACTATTGTTCTGTTATTACAGATATTTGTTTTTATCCAAAAAACAAGCATGAGCCAACAATTAATGAGACGACTGCACGCTCTTTTTGTCTGATGATCTCTCATTTGATGTCTCCATTGTTGCCTTCTCCATCTTCTCTTTCCAACCTGTAGAATATGACACACACTGATGTCTCAGTTTGCACTTCAGAGTAAGGAAACCTGCTATTTTCTGGTTCCAGATGAGAACCAACTTTTCTGGTTTCCGAACCAATGTCTTTTTGGGGGAAATGCTCTGAATGGTGCAAAAGTAGGTTTGGGGAACCGGCTTAATGTTGGTGGAAAAGGGGTATGAGTTGAAGAATTCAGGACGACACACTGATTTTGATTCAAACCAATCGGGACTTTGTATTGGGGAAACTCATGAGCTTCATGGTATCAAAAAGGCTTATTTTGTGATGAAGTATTGATATGTGAAGACAGTAATTTCTGCATATTTTTCGAACATTTTTGAAATGCTAACGCTTTGCACTTTTTAGGTCTAATCAATATGTTTCTGATGTGCAACACGAGATGAGTAAAGTTGTACAGAACACTACGTTTGAGAGAGCAGGGTGTGTTTGTGAGTAAATATGTGTGTGGAATAAAGAAGTGAACATAAAAAAGGTTTGAGATTTGGATTTGTGAACGCTCGAGTGCAGACCACAAACCTGTAGCAAAGGGCCAGAGGGTAACTTTAACCAAAACCATTTAATCACGCACAGTTCAGCTGTCAAACTCTTTATTCGACTTTGTCAAGTGCAAAAGCAGGAGAAGTGCTACAGCTGCAAAATTACAGATATGAGATACAAAGAAGAGCACAGACAGATGTTTTCAAAGACACGTGTAACACCATTTTAAAACAAAATGCATCGTACAACATAAAGAGACAAGACAAGAATGTGGGCTTTGGCACTATCTTGTTACACTACACATAGCAGGAATAGGACGGCCAGCGGAGGCGTCGATGGCTGAGCTTCCTGCGGTTTGTGGTTGGCATATTGTGAGCAAAGATTTACATTAAATACATGGATAGCTTTGGCTGTAGTGCTTTAGTTAAGATTGGAGAAATGTAAAACTTTGGGGTTTGCAACACCAGTGCTTGACCTAATGCATATGCCACTGTAGCACATAAACAATACTGATCATGAAAAGCAAAATTATTTACATCACGAAGCACCAATATATACAGAAATGCACACACGCAGATGAAGCAGGGTCTTTTTCTGTCCTTTTTGAAAGAGCCTGAACCGTGAGATATTAATGCGACTTTATGGGCAGGAAAAGGTGAGATTTAAAACCAAATGGGGTGTTAACATTTAATGCTGTGTAACGGTGGGGTCTAACTGAAGGAGGCACTCTGGTATGCCCGTCTACCATTTTTCATATCCTTTTAAAAACCCATGAAAACAGTTTTTGGCTGACAGAAGAAGGAAGATGAAGTCTAAAACAGGCTGGCATGATTTAACCACAAAATATATCATTTCCATATATCATTTCCTTAGATTACTGAAAACACCTATTTTACCCCCAGTTTTGGTTTTCCTGGCTCTCTCTCCAGGTTCGGGGAGGAAAAGGGTGGGTTCCCTGAGATCTGCCCACTGGACACAGGAAGTATGTATGTTTATCAAAATAAGACATTTTAAAAAAGGAAAGTTATCAAAACTAGGGCAGACAAAAGTACACATACAACTGCTAGCTGTGGCTTCGACACCTTGATAATACTTACTAGGATGTTTCTATAATGTGTTAAAGATATGTAATGAAAACACGACACATGAGCGTTAAATATGGCGTTGGATATCAGCTCCATTAGGAAATAAAGTGCTAAGTACAAATGAATGAATGAATTACTTGGCATGGTACAACTCACAATGCATACATAAGCTTTGGCAACGTTTATAGTTTAGATACAGTATGAGTGAAGCTTTCTCTATTGGTTTGGACACCAAGCTTATTTTACATCACAACTCATCAAAAAAAAAAAAAAACAATTTACATCAGAACAAAAGTGCTTTTAAATCACAACCATATTGAACACATGTTGAAAAGATAATCAGACTGGGAGTCAGTATAGCTTTATGATGGGTGAACTTGTGTAAATGTTCAGTACTGTGTAAGTGAAGGCAACTTCCTCAACTTTTATCTACAACCAAACGTCTCCACTGAGCATCACCTTCTTTTCTTCTTCTCTCCCACCTCTCAATAACACTCCTGCGCTACTTTGTTCTGTGTTACCACCACTTGCTACGCCTCCTTCTTGTCGCTACTCGTGGCTTCCCTTTTATCTTTGTATCTTTTGATCCATTTCTCCGCACATCTCCAGTATGTAGAGGACGGTTATATCTGCACCCTGAAGAAATGGCTGCTGGGGTCCCAGCAACCTTGAGTGTGTGTGTGTGTGTGTGTGTGTGTGTTTCATTTTGTTTCCTCTTGTACCTCAGTGGGCTGAAGTGTACGGCACTTTACAATTAGCACGTCCGAGCCTACAGTGTTATTTCTATGCATGTGTGTACCTGCATGTGCGTATATCCGTGTGTGCCTGCATGCAAATTTGGGTTCATAAAACATGACTGTTTTTAAACAGGCCACAAATACCCATGGTGACCAAAATATACTATATATACATACATATATATATATATATACACATATATATATATATATATATATATATAAAATATGTAGACAGACAACATAACTGAGAAATCAACACAGTTTTCTGAGATACACAAAAGGACTGATTGCATTGTCTGCTTTCAGTTGGTTAAATCCTCAGGTGAGCACGCTCATGTGCTCCTGTCAGTGACCCCACGTGACCTCCAGGGTTACGCCGGGTCAGTTTTAGTCCGGGGGAAATAAGGAAAAGGAGTGTTTTTTGGTTTCATTGTGGACCTTTACTCGGCTGATTAAACCAGCTCAGTTAGCATGTGGTGACCCGCACCATGTTTCTGAACTGAAGTGGGATTAGGACGGGTCACTGCTTACAAATCTGCTGTCACTACCCTAAACCATTTGTCTCCTTGTGATTCTTCTTGTTTCCTTCCTGTCCTACAACTTTCCCATCCCTTCTCTCCTTCCCTTGGGTTTAGAGAGGGTCACCCGGGGACAAAACCTGCTGCCCCCGTCCTCCTCTCGTCCTTAACCCAACATTTACTCTTCCTTTGCTCCACCTTTCACTTGTGTTTGTCCGTCTATCCAGACTCCTCAGGATTTAGGGTGTCCTGGGCCATGCCTGTCTAGGTTGGGGTGCACCTTGTTTTTGAGGGGCGGGGGTTTGCGTTTCCGCTTGCGTGTGGGAATGGTGGTAGTGTGAGCGGGGTGGTTGAACAGGCTGGAGGAGGGGAGGGTGTCTCTCTCTGTCGGGGGGTCCCAGTCCCGGCTACTAGGGGTAGAGGCAGGGGTGGATGGCAAGGAAGGGGTGGGCGCAGGGGTGCATGGAGGTGCAGGGGGTGTTTTGGGCTGCGGGACATGGGATGGGGGAGCGTTTGCTGAGGTGTCAGAAGCAGATTTATCTGTGACTGGTGTAGGTAGCGGTGCATTGACTGAAGGTTTGGCTGATGACTGAGGGGCGGGTGTGTGTATGGTGGCAGAGGCTGGTCTGGGCTTTAGAAAAGGGACAGGTGTAGCTGCTGGAGTCTTTTTGGGGTTAGCAGCAGTGTTTCCACAGTCCTTTAGAAGTTCATTTTTATCCGTCTTTTTCCCCTTTTTGCTCCCTTTGTGTTTTTCTTTGCCACTCTTTCGTTCTCTCCATCCAGCAGAGTCCTTGTCCTCACCCTTCCCTCTCTGTCCAGCCTCACTCCTCCCTCCCTGACCACCACCACTACCTCTGTCCCTCCCTCTACTCCTCCTTTTCCTCTGCGTCCGCTCCAGTCGACACTCAATGTGGTACAGATCCTCTGTTGCCATGGTGACGCGGTCAAGCTGTTGCAGCAGGGCGTCCAGGGTGGGGAGGAGCCGTCTCAGAGAGGCTTCAGTCTCTGCTCTCTCCCTCCAGCTGGTGCTTCCCATCACCACCCCTGGACCAAGCCCCAAACCCAGGCCCAACCCAAGTCCCAGGCCGATCCCCGGGGCTTCTGTCAGGCTGCAGGGGCTGGAGGAGGCTGGGCGCCATGAGGCCTCGGAGCCCGCATCAATGCTGTCTGGGGTGGGAGGGGAATCAGGACCGTCCAGCGGTGGCAAGCACAGGGACTTACAGTCACTGGTGGAGGATGAACGGGATGGTGGCAGCTCCATGCCCTCGAAACGAACCTTATGACGAAACTAAACAGAGGATGAAAGAGGTAAAGAGAGAAGGTCGAGGTGTGAGGATGAATCATTGGTGGACGTATTCAGATTCTTTTCTTAAGTTGAAGTTCTAATACCACATTGAAAAAAACTCCACTGGCAGTAAAAGCTAAGCCAAAACCTAAGTTAAGGGGAAAGTTCACACCAAATCAAAAATACATACTTTTCCTCTTACCTGTAGTGCTATTTATCATTCTAGATTGTTATGGTGTGAGTTGCAGAGTGTGGGAGATATCGGCCGTAGAGATGTCTGCCTTCTCTCAAATATAATGAAACTAGATAACACTCAGCTTGTGGTGCTCAAATGACCAAAAAAATTCATCTGAAAAACTCAACAGCAATGTCTCTTTCCAGAAGTCATGTCCTGGTTACTCAAGATAATCCACAGATCTTGTTGTGAGCAGTTTCATGTAGGAACTATTTTCTTTCTACCGAACCACATTCCCCAACCCTATCAACGAACAGAAGGAAGTGTGCATCTACTGCTAGCTCACCTAGCACCACTGAGCTAGATGTTACAGCTCAGCCGAGGGGGACGCCATTAATATTTGCATCTCGTCTTGTCCATAAGTAGATGCACACTTCTTTTGGTGGGCATGGCTTGGTGGAAAGAAAATAGTTCCTACATAAAACTGCCCAAACAAAGCCTGTGGATTAACTTGAGTAACTGGGTCATGATTTCTAAAAAAAGAGACATTGGTGTTGAGTTTTTCAGATGTATTGTGTTTTAAACAGAAGCTGAGTGCCATCTAGTTATGTGATATTCATTAGAAGGCAGACATCTCTTTGGCCAATATCTCCAGCACTACAGGTAAGAGGAAAAATATGTATTTTTATTTTGGGGTGAACTGTCCCTTTAAGTAAAAGCAGTAGGAGTAGAAGACTGAAGTGACGTGAAATGGAAGTACTTGAAGTACCTCAAATTTGTACTTGAGTACAGAGCTTGAGTGAAAGTACACTGGGATTGATGTATATCTATCTAAAAAGTACTAGAGATACAGCTTCTAACAGAGTGTCTGCAACCATTTATTTTTTCACATTTGTCCCTATAAAATCTCTAAAGGCTTTCTAAAAATAGGTCAGACTAACAGCTGTAGAAAGCAAACAGGAAGTGTACCTCCTTGGCCCTGCTGAGTCCCATCCACATTTTGAGACGTCTGAGAAACAGCTCAACCATCTCGTAGTCTTGGAGGTCCACAGCTGGACGGTACAGCTCTGCTCGTGCGCGCCGGTAGTTCCTCAGTAACACAGAGGTGACCAGCCATAGCAACACCAGCCGAAGTATGGCAAAACTTGCATGGAACACCAGTGCGGAGACGGAGCTAGAGGGGCCGGTTATAGTCCAGCTAGGACGCCATGATAGCAGACCACGTCCGCCAGCGCCCAACAAAGACAGACAGGCAGAGCTCACGCTGCTGTAGCCGTCAAATACAGAGTGGAAGAGCTGGAGTGGAGGAGACACAGGGAGAAAATCACAAAATGGAAAGAAAAGCCAACATGTCTTAGTCTGGACAGGGCAAAGTTATTTTCAGGTTAAGCAGCAGCAAAAGTCTGCTTCTCTGTGATGATCAAAAACTCAACTTGTGAACAAATACATTGATAACTCAGATACAGCCAAGAGTTTAAACATGCACTTCACTGTCTGTTAAAAAAAGACAAATTTAAACCAGAAGAAATTTCACTGGTAGCTGGTGGAGAGAGACACCAGAGTTATGTGAGGAATTTCAGACCAGTTGGAGCTGAGCCACAGACACTTGGTCCAACCAAGTAAACAAAACACTGTGGTATTTCTGGCAAGATGACACAAATTCTAGAACACACTTAACCCTGTGACCAGGTCTAATGTGGGCATAGTTTACAAATTACAAATACAGCTTTGTTTGTTCATCATATTAAAGCCAAAACACAGCGTAGCACAGGCATACTTTCTCAATTCTGGGTTTTTAATATCCAGAGTAACTTCAAAATGTTTTAAAATTAGTTTTTCAATGGAAGAATGTTCCACAACATGTTCACTGGCTTATCTGAGACCATCAGATTGAAAGGAAAGATATAAATTGTGACAATGAAAATAGATATTCAGGCTCCAGTGTGAAGGATTTTGTAGCGTTTAGTGGAGCTGACACTTGCAGAGTGTAGGAAAACAACGGCGTCTGACATGGAAATGCAAAAACATGAAAGGGCCTATCTAGAGCCAGTTTGTCCTTTCTGGACTACTGTGGAAACAACATGGCTGACTCGTGGAAGTGGACCAGCTCTGTATGTAGATACAAACGCCTCATTTTAAGGGAACAAAAACATGATCCTTATTTTTAGGTGATATAAACTAATGAAAACATCGTTATCGTACACACCGGACCTGTAAAATGATATGTTATAACGGTACATGGACATGTCAGAGTTGAATTAAGCAGCTTTGTGAGGTTGCTCTGAGCTAAATGCTAATATCAGCATGCTACCATGACAAGGAAATTGTTAATATGCTGATGCTTAGCATCTACAACACATGTTTACTACCTTAGTTTAGCACATTAGCATGCTAACATTTGTTAATTAGCACTAAACACAAGGTACAGCTGAGGCTGATGGGAATGTCATTAGTTTTGCAGGTAGTTAATGTGACGTTACAATTATTTTACCTTACATTTGGAAGATGCCAACAGCGTCATGCAAAAATTTGGTTACACATCAAGGTGAAATTTTGGGGACTGCACATTCTGATGGCCCGGAAAAGCTTGTTTCTTACAGTCTGTTATCCCAAAACAAACATCTGTTGCTGTGAAATTACACACTCCCTGTAGTTAGACAACCCAATAGCAAGAAAAAATGTTTGCATTGTACATTTTTTGTAAACCATGGATACGTTACATTTATCAACAATGATGTGGTGAATGTGTGATTGGGTTAAAGCGCAAAAACCACTTGGTTACGGTAAGTAAAGATCATGCTTTGGCTTAAAACACCCACATTTGGTGGCACAGAAGTCACTGGAAAGCAGGGACAGGGGTCGATGAAATCTGCCATAATTGGTGGCTCAAGCACTGAAACTAAATGCACGTAGTGTGTAGTATCGGAGAAATGGGACTTCGGAGCAACATGCGCTTGTGTTTTTTTGATAATAGGCTGTCAGAGAAATGGGCTTTTAGTCCAATGGGACATTTTCAGACAAATGAAACTTTGGAATTTTGTGCTGTTGGAACAAGTGCATGACACCAAAATTTTGGCCTAAAGATGGTGCTACTGTGTGAAGCTGCTGTACTTGTTTGTCTTTTAAAGGATTCAGGTGAACGTGTTTACCTGAATCCTTTAAAAGTTAAGTTTCATAAACATGCAAGATAATTATACATACAATTTGGCAGAGCTGTCTCAAATATAAACCATGCTGGATATAAAAGGTTAAATAAAAGTGAAAAAAAAACAAGCTGTTTGGTAACACTAGCTATGTTTCCATCCAAAAGTGATTTGAATCATTGGGAAATGCTCATTAAAAGAAATACGAATCCTGTGTGTTTCCATTAAATGTACGGACTTTGGTGAAAACTACGAACTCGTGCGAGTTTTCCGCAGAACAGGAAACAAAACAAGTCTTGCATTCTTCTTCTTCTACGTTTTATGTTTATGTTTATTTTATTTAAGAAGGGACAGTGCACATTAATTAACATGATCACTTAAGTCACGTAAATGTGCCAGATTTAGCCATACAGGCTAATTTTCATCTGCAGTCCCTGGCAGGTTGATGCACGGATAAAAGCAAATTGATGGCATGTCCATAGAAAGGCACATAAACATATATAGAAAGCACGTAAGCTCAGAGCAAGTACATAACCACAGACAAAAGCACATAACAAAGCACATTTTCTGGCGGTTGGCAACCAGCTTGTAAATGCATTACCGCCTTCCCAACCCGGAGTGTGGATATCACCATGGACAGAGGTGCACTACGTCAGACTTAATTAGAACATAACTGTTTCCATCCCCCGTTTTGCGAATCACCATTTTTTCGAATCAACCAAAACCCGGCTGAAGCAAGCGTATTTTAGTTTGTGCGAATCAGGGGATTTTAATTCGAATGTTGGCGTTTCTATCATAATTTTCCAATGTGATACTTCTAGATGCGCATCTAAACAGGCTGATGGAAACATGGCTATTGTTATTATACACACAGCTGAGGCTTTTCCTCTGGCATTATAGATTTCAGACTCAGGGAAATATTGAATAAATGCCCTATTATCCTCTTTGAATAAAGTTGTTTTGCAACACGGACCAGACGGCAAGCCTACGATAATAGTTGTTCTAACAATACACAGCAGATGAAGCTGTGTTGTGCAGTCTGTGCCAGTGTGAATGGTTTATGTACTAGCATTGTAAAGACAGTGTTGGCAATCAACCATTTTCCGAACAAACACCACTATGCATGAAAGGTGAACAAACAAGTGGGCGGATAGATTTTTTGACAAAGTCATTCACTTGTTCATTGTGCGTTATGTACAAGTTTCCATTATATGTGTGTGTGTGTGTGTGTGTGTGTGTGTGTGTGTGTGTGTGTGTGTGTGTGGGGGGGGGTCGACGAGAAAGAAACAGAAGGAACAGATGGAAGAGAAAAAGTCTGACCAGGTGTCCTGTGTGTGAGTAAGCCAACACCAACAGCAGCAAAGCCAGGGCGACTCCCAGCAACTCCCAGACCGAGCGCCGCAGAGCTCTGCCAAACACGGCCCACTCTCTGAGAAACCGCAACTGGTGGGACGCCTGCATGATCAGACAGAGAGACAGAGTAAACAATATCATATAAGAAACATCATTTTCTCTTGGTATTAGATGAAACTTCTGCTATTTTACGACTGGGGCTTTATTTTTTATAGTTGGGCCATCACTTGTAGCTGTTACTCAAGAACTTTATTATGCAAGTATAATGAAATTGCAAAAGACTACACTCATAGTTACAAAGAATAAAACAAGGTATGAATAAAATAAGAGATATTCAACAGCTATAAAGTACAGAATCTATGCAATATAACTACAAAATGTAAGCAATGTTAAATATAATACAATAATGATAATTGTTATAACATTGTACTCTTTATACATTTATCTGACTGATAGCTTCGTCAAATACTTGCATTTTACCCCATCTATACACATTGGGAGCAGTCTTGGCTTCAATGTCAGACGCAACTACAGCATTTACAATAGGATAACATTAAACAAAGGAAGTCAGTCTTTTTAAGGGTAAGGCTGATATTAGTCTACTTTTTTTTCTCATAACCCTTTTCCACCAACATGAAACCAGTTCTGTTTAGTTTCCCCACACCTAATTTTTCAAACTGTTCAGAGCAGTTCAACCAAAAATAAATTGGGTCAAAACCTGAAAGGTTGGCTCTCAGCTGGAACCAAAAAATAACAGGTTTTCCATGAGCTGAAAAGTGAACCGTGATGACTTGGATGAGAAATCATCACAAAAAAGAGTGCAGTGGTCTCAGTAGTTGGTTCATGCTTGTTGTTGGGTAAAAACTAATATCTGTAATAACAGAACAAACGCAAGGGATCAATGCGATCTGTGATTTAGCTACTACTGTTTACTTCCATTGTGCATTGTGCAACGACCTCCACTGATGACACATCCTTGATTACAATGGTTCTACTCAAAAGTGGTAGAAAAAAAACAGGCTGTTTCGCTAGATAGCACCAAGGTTCCAAGAATCCTGAATGAAACCAGTTCAAAAACCAGAGCTAATGTGGTGGAAAGGAGGTTTTAGGTTCACCAAATCCTATGAGAAAAAAACCCTGCCCTGTGTAAACCAGTTTCTCAATACTTTAAGACTTCCCCACTCTTGTGTCTCTCTGATCTGAGGTCATGTATTTTCACTGAAGATGTATGTCAAGAAAAGCATCTCACACATAAATGTAACAGTTAGCCACTGTAGTCTTTAGTCTTCTAATGTTGCTCAAACATGAGAAAATAGCGAATAAAAGAGCAACTTTTAAATATATTTGCTCCCTTCTTGTCCTCTGGAATGTGCCTGGGTCAACACACTCTTATATCACTCAGAGTCCACTGATGTTTTTCTTTTGTCGTATTTCTCTTCCTTGCGTATTCAGACTCCATTGAACTAGATTTTTATTTTTATCCACAAATAAAGTATTATATCAAAGTAGAAAAATAAAAAGACATAAAAAGCAACTTAAATTTACTGTTACTAACTGATCAAAAAACTGTGTAGCTACAAGCCAAAGAACCCTGCCTTTGACACAATCACTGCCTCAATCAGCTGATTGTGGGGGGGATGTCTACACTTCACGTTCCAACAACAATTCCAATCGTTTCAGTGAGTCTATTTCCATCCTCCCATGATACACTGTATTTATGCACACATCATCAAAATGAGAGTTAATATAGAAATTATAATTTTGGCTCCAACAGTGAATTTGTTAGGGACTATTTTCAGCCATGTCTTAATACACACATGGTGCTAGTGATATTTGTAGCAGCAGATGATTTATGTGGGATTGACTTAATAGTTTTGAAGCACTATGGCACAAATATATCAGGCTCTGATACACACACAGTACGTGTTAAACAGATTAGTTCAATGATCATTTTGGTCTTTCACAGAACATATAAAATATCATCACACTCATCATTGGAACTGTGATGGATGCTTATAATGGACAATTTGGGAAGTTATTTTACCGTTCACCATTGTCCTCTCTTCCAAAAAACCTGAGGCTTTTCATGTGTGTGTGATTTGCCCATCAAATGTCTTGATAGCAATGTCCCAGATCTCAGAAATTACAGGTTCCCTGTAGAATGTTTGACCTTTAGTTGCTCCATAAAGCAGTTTTTGGTTTGTCTTGTGAGGACACATAAACACACATTTGAGCACAGGTGCATACAATTGAAGAGTTACCCATTACCGGCCAATGTTAACACACTATTCCACTGCTATACAGGTGACAGTAATGTGCCTAGATATGCAGCAATGTCCCCACAGAGGCAGGGAAGAAGAAGACTAGTAGACACTGATGTAAACAATGCAGGTTTAACACTTTTTGGAGGGAAATACATTCATCATATTTGTTAGATATTAAAGATATACACAGTTTGTTTTGGTGAGTAATAGTAAATGCAAATATAACTTTTGTTAGTTTAAAAGGCTAGAATTACCACCTCGCGTTTTTTGCACCAGTCAAGCTGCAGTTACACTTTACAGCCATGTCAGTGAATATATGTATGCTTCACACACGTCTTCCCCTCGGTGGCACAGAAGAGCTATACCATCAGCACAGTTTCGAAGTGTGCACCCAGAATTAGTGTCACTAATTCATAAGCTGACCAAATGTCTCCCATTCTGTTCCTGAGATATGACGTTAAATAATGGCCAGAAAAGTGTTTTTGCAGAGCCTTATGATGTCACAGTGAAGTTCACCTTTAAAATTCTGAATATAAAATGTCAGCACTTCATCATTTTATCCTATTAGACATTTGTGTGACCAATGGCCAATGTTTCATGATATCACAGTGATCTTGACCTTTAACCACCAAATTTGAATCAGTTCATTCTTGAGTCCAAGTGGACGTTAGTGCCAAATTTGAGGAAATTCCCTCAGAGCCCTCTTGAGGTATTGTGTTCACAAGAATGAGACAGACACAGGATCACAGTGACCTTGACCTTTGACCATCAAAGTCTAATCAGTTTGCCTTTGACTCAAAATGAATGTTTGTGCCAAATTTGAAGAAATTCCTTTGAGGTGTTCTTCAGATATTGCGTTCATAAGAATGAGGCGGAAAAGGTCATTGTGACCTTTGACCACCCATATCTTATCAGTTCATTGTTGAGTACAAGTGGATGTTGTGTTCATAAGAATGGGATGGACAGACGGACTATGGCTATCGCTAGCACAGAGGGGTAAAAACTCCACAGGGAACCCTTGACCTGCTAATTACACCGTTATTATCACTGATAAGGTTGATGGCCAAAACTACAAAAATAATAACCTCTTACCTTGAGCACCAGTATGAACAACAGCAAGGCAGACATGGCTGTGTACATCTGACTCTGTCTGGCCAGGGGGTAGAAGTCAGTGAAGGCGTCCCGTGGGTGCTTCAAGTACGACGCCCACTGCCGTGTGGCGATGGTGCAGCGGCTCAGGTGCAGCCCGCACACTGAGGCTGCCAGAGCCAGTTTGCAGATGCCCAGGAGTCTCCAGGTTGACAGCAGGTACACATATCCCTCTCTGAGGAAGCCCATGATTCCCCGCACCAGGAAATACAACACCAGGACGAGGAGGACGATCTGGAAAATGGGAAACATTAAACTGGAAACATGTCGCCAAAGTAACACAACCAAGGACAGGGGTAAAAATTCAGGTAAAGCTTGGCGGCAGGTAGTTTTTGTCATCATTGACAGTGTCAGAGAGGGTTGCTAAGGGTTACCATGAGAAGCAGCTGCAGGTCCAGGCCTGTGATTGGCCACAGAGTAATGACAACGAGGTCAAGGCTGGACTGGGCACGCTCAGAAACTGGAAACTCAAACAGGAAGGAGAAGACAGCCAGGAGGTTTGTGTTGATGTTGTAGAGCGAGAACTCCACAAACACAGCTCGGGTGCTGTGAACACACACACACACACACACACACACACACACACAAACAAGTACACACTTAATGGACTGTGATACGATCAGGAGTCAAGAAAGTTCACAGTCACTTCCTGTTTCGGTTACCTCTCTAGTTTGGAATCATATTTAATATGCTATTTATCTAATTCAAGCTGGGTGTTCGCTTCACATTAAGTTTGATTTGATATGAGATATAAAAACTCGTTTTTGTTCAACAGACACAGTTTAGTGTGCCGTCAGAGACCTTCTTATTGACTCTCAGTTGCTCCCCTCTGAATATTTGCAACCTGATACCAAATGTAGTATTAACAGGAATCCAGTTTTGTTTGTGCCATCAGTTAGTATCCTCAGAGCAATTGCTGAAAGCCAGAGCACATTCTCAGCACATTCTTTACTGCATTGTTTCTACGTTTTATTTGAATGTTTGATGTTTTCATGTGCAACTTTTAAATGACTGCGGGCTGTAAGACAAATTGCACTTCAGGGAGAATCAAACTCCACTCGCAGATTTATAAAGCCATGAGTACCCATGGTTCTGTTTGGTTCCAATCATTGTGAAACTGTGCACGAGCCCAATTTTTACTCCCTTGCATCTGGCCCCTCGACTTTGGAGCAGCGTGGCCAGTGAGATCAGTGAGCAAACTTTAAAAACATAAAAAATTATATCACATAAAACCGTTTTAATTGGTTTGATTGCCTTTGCTTTTGGATTTAATGTCTGTCAGGGCACTCGGATGTTATTGTTCTGTTCTTTTCTTTCAACTTGGATTTAAAATTTCTCCGTTTTTTCCACTCGTCTTTCCACTTTCACTACCTGTAGTCGAGCCAGTGCAGCTGCTGCAGCTGCTGTAGCGAGGCAGAGGCCTCCTCCAGGCTTCTGTTCAGCTGGTGGACCACATCTCCACTGTTATACACACTCATCTGGCCCAAACGCCACGCCCTGGAAAGACGAGTAGGAGGAGACACAGCGGAGAGAAAAAACAACAACATATTAATAAAGACCAGATGTTAAATAGATACTGATCTGAGTTAACTCACAGCCTGCTTGGTTAAAACCAGGCTTTCACTGGTTTCCTTACCAGTTTGTATCGCTAGCTCCGAAAGCAGTGAAATTCTCAGCATCTTTGATCAGAGATGGAACTGTGCCCTCTCCCCATACACTGTCTCCTGCTCTGAAACCACCTGCAACTAGAAGAAAAAGTAAAGTTCTAACAAGATCAAGCCAGATTAAATTCTATGTATTAAATCAATTCTTAGAAGAGTACATTCAAACATGAAAGAGAATAGAGTAACTTGAGATGCTGAACATTAAAAAATTTCATACAGTTGACTCAATATTATTGGAAAAATAAGAAAGACAGACACCTGTCTCCAAAAACATCTTTCATGTGTACAGATTCAATGAGCTAGTGAGGTTTTCTTGTTTCTTCGGATCAATGGAGCCTCAGTTCATGTCAATCTCAAGCTCCCACAAGTTCATAACAAACATATAGACAGCAAAAGTATTTCAATCTCACCTTTCAGGTCACGGATCTGACGGAGCCTCAGCGTGCCAAGCAGCAAGCTTCCTGTGTCCCTCAAGAGGGCAGAGTCATCTAGTAGCCGTGGCAACAGCGACTCATTCAGCCACACCAGAACATCATCTCGACTGAAAGATTAAATGAGAGGATTTGAATATATTCATACATCTTTTGTGTTTGTCATATGCTAAATTACAGTGTGGTCACAATGTTGGATCAACATTTGCTGACAACATCTTACAGCGTGTTTGTGTGCATGTACTGAGTACCCCCCCTCCCCCCTACTGATGTTTCTTTGTTGTTTATTCTTCCTTTTGTGCCAGGGGAACAAAGAAATCCACACTACAAATAAATAACTGTTTTCAAGTTATTCAGCTCTCCATTACACAGCCTTTGAATGAGCACAAATTTATAAAACCACTTTTAAAATGACCTTTCACAAGAAAAACATGAAAAAAACAACTGCTTCAAAAGCCTTTTACTATAAATAAAATGTCATAGTTCCCTCTGGAATATCTATTTTATAATGCTGTGGAAACAACAACAAAGTTCTGCTTCAAATGGCTGTATTGATTTGAGTTTCTTGCCAAAAATGACATTTTACAAGACTACATTTGAACATATTGTGAGGACTTTATAATTTACCTTCACCCAATAGTCATTTTTACTGAATAGAGCTTCAGCACATCATAATGAAACTCAAGGCAACCTCCGTCAGTGGTTATTTGCGACCACCAGCTACTAACAGCGTACTTTAACTAGCTCTCCTCCTGCTAATTTTTACAGGGATTGTCGATCACCATGTAAAAGTTTAACAGGGAAACAAAAGGGTGCACCCCCTCAACGCATGGGTATCAAGGTTACTGTGTCCTTTAGTCCCAATGGTGCCTTAGGGAAGATCTCTTTTTGTCCCAAATACGTTTTTTATTGTTTTGGGATGACGGGACACTGTTAATCTTGAGTCCTGCTTTTTAGCCTGCACAAAAATGTCGTGACACAACGGAAAAACATCAGTCAACAAGGCAAATATTAGTCAATACCAATGTGCTGCTGATAAATCAGTGCATCCCTACTTTTATATTTATTTATTTATTACAAACAAGAACAAGAGCTTATTGGAAATCAACACGAATAAACGTATAAAATTATCATTTTATGTTACCTTAATGTTCTCCACGTACACTCCTCTTTACCATACCCATCAATGCTCTAGCATCATACTGTGATGATAACTCATCAAGGTGAACTGCATTACCAGTACTACAGGTGGTATGTTATATCTATGTGTATGTTTTTTTTACAGGGGGTGGAGGGGTGGGGGCTCCTTGGCACCCTTGGCTGCCTATGTCACCTATAGGTAGATGTGCTACTGCACCAAGGATCTGCTCTACGTTGAACACACAAAAGATGTGGACACAGTCTGTCTGAGCAAATGTTTCCCCTCTTGTTCTCTTTGGGTTTAAGGAGAACGACGCATCCAGTCGCAGGAGCACACAAGAGAAACACACTTCACACAAGACAGACCCACAGAAGGTCACCTTTGTAAAATGAAATGCCTCAATCTCAATGGAACAAATAAATAAAGGGTTGACATTTTTCAAAAGATGATTCACATTATTGAAGTTTGTGTGTGTGTGTGTGTGTGTGTGTGTGTGTGTGTGTGTGTGTTTGTACCTGCTGATGTTGTGGTACTCAGGTGTGTGTAGTGCTCGCTGCAGCTGAGTGCGCAGTCTCAAGCTGTGTGTGTCTTTGGCCGAGTCCGAGTAGTTGAGAAGCAAAACCACCAACAGGAAAAACATGTAAACCAGGAAATTCTGAAAATAAAAAGCAACAATTCTGTTAACAAATGAGAAATGGAGCTCTAAATGTCGACAGCACGGTAAAGACACATAGACAGTCTCCAGCATCATCGCTCTAACCTTGCACGTCTCTCTTTCCAACTCACCTTCAGCATGGTGTGCAGCATGTGGACTTTGCGGGCCTGGTGTCGAGCCTGAGACAGAGCGAAGCCCTGAGGCGGTCTCACCCTGGGGACCCGTTGGACCACTCTCTCCACACGGGGGAACTCCACCAGCACATCCTGGTCCTCTGGACGCAGGCGAAGCACACACAATGCATAGTAAACTGCCTCACACAGCACCTGTGGGGCAGAGGACGGAGGGAGCACAGAGCTGTTATGTTGGGAAAGTCTTTCAAAAGTCAAGAGGTTGTTGAATTTACTCGACCCAGGAATTCAACCAAAAGAACATTAAGGTGTGAGCAGTAAACTCCAGCTTTTCAGGAGCAAAGAAAAACAGGCCTTTTTACAACTTGAAGTCAGCACATTTTATCTCGATCTTCAGCTGTGTATTCACCCACTAGTTGCTACCTTTGTCTGTAAAGGTGTCTGAAAAGGTCAAGAACATTTGAAAGCTCAGAACCTCTTGGCTGAAATAAGCTTCCTTCAGAGGCTGAAAATGTGGTTGATGAGAGTGGTTGAGAGTGAACCAAAACTTGTTGCAGGTCGTAAGACCAAAACAATGAGCTGGAAGAAGCTGAAAAGCTCAGTAGAGCTGAGAGGAACTGCAGAGTCTGGTGATAATTCTCTGTGGGTTCTTCACTACAAGAGATCTTTCAAATTACTCAGTCATTTGATGTGTTGTTAATATAAAAATCTTGACTACTGCAGGTGGCACGGTAGTGTAGTGGTTAGCATTGTCACCTAACATCAAGAGGAGTCCCTCTGTGTGGAGTTTGCATGTTCTCCCTGTGTCAGCGTGGGTTTTCTCTGGGTACTCCGGCTTCCTCCCACAGTCCAAAGACATGCAGGTTAATTGGTGACTCTAAATTGCCCGTAGGTGTGAGTGTGAATGGTTGTCTGTCTCTATGTGTCAGCCCTGTGATAGTCTGGTGACCTGTCCAGGGTGTACCCTGCTTCTCGTCCAGTGTCAGGTGGGATAGGCTCCAGCCCCCCCGCAACCCCTAACAGGATAAGCGGTTACGGAAAATGAATGAATGATTATGTTTTTTGCTTTAACTTGTTATGAAATAAACGTTGATTGCACAATGTAATGACTATAAAATTATGACACCATATCCGTTAAGACTGGTTCTCATTACGCCTTGCTTTTACTCTGCAATTCTGTCTGCCATCAGGTACAACCTAATGGGAAAATGAAGGCCTGATATACAGCACGGCACAAAGAAAGTGTGTCGATCATTGCGCAATCAAACCAGAGAGAGAATTGCACTTTGTTTTCCCCGGTAGCTATCAGTAGATATGCCCAGTTACCGATAAGTAACAGTTGAAGTTTCTTGCAGTTACTATTCCCAGTAGTGGGAATGGTGTGAAGTAACTGTGGAAACTGTGGGTGTTGCTGGGCTCTGAGAAAAACAGAAAGCAATCAGGTTGTCTTTTTGAGCTGCACTACAATAATACCACAGGGAAACACTATGGGGAAAAGTTGAAAAATTCTCTCCTCTTAAAACAAATAAAAACAACATCTACATTCACATCATGTATGTGAATGTAGAAAAGAGCATGTGTGTGTGAGGTAAACCAGCATCTCTGAGAATAAATGTGTGTTTCTGTGTGTTTACCTTGATTGGCTCCAACAGCAGGCAGGAACACAGGAAACTGGCAAAACAGGAGATGAGCCACATCATGGCCATGTTGTCACTGAACCCGTGGCCAGCCCATATCGAAACGCCATTGGCCAGAGCGATCCCTGCCCAGCTGCCCCACAGGGCTGCACGTCCACACCAGGGAGGAAACCGTCTTGGACGACACACGTCTGTCACAACTGGATAGTAAAAAATACATAAATAAATTTTAAAAAAGTTGTAAAACAGAGTAGTGTAGAAAGAGGAACAGAGAGGACATGAAGGTCTCAGAGATAAGACAAAGCAGATAGAAGACAGAAAGCAGGAGACCTCTGAGAGCTTATTATTTCTCAACAGTTCCTCAACAGTTTAGATGTTAGGAATGTGCATTTTTAATAACCTAGGCTGATAAATATTTGAAGGTTTTTCACACTTCACAAAAGGAAGTGTGTTCTTACAAACTTTCTTTACCCACAAGGACTCCAAAGTCCACTCAACGAACACAGTCACTAACAAAGTTCCCCAAAGAAGATTAAATCATGCTGTCAGGACTTTGGATCCAGTGCCTCAGTGCCATTTACTCTTTTCTCTGACAACACAGGACTTGTTTTGCTTTTTAAACATTCAGGCAGCAAAATGAAGGCATGATGTATATACTCTGGTTTCACATCAAAACACAGCTATAATGGCTTAGACACTCAGCCGCCAGCACTGGGCTCATTACTGAATGAAAGTAAACCCAACTTACTCATCTTTCTTTTTTAAAAGTAACGATCAATCTTTGCTCTTTAAAGAACGACAGTTACAAGTCTTATCCTAAAAATCAGGGGTGATTTATGTGTTCCGTGTCAAGAGCAAAAGCAGAACAGTTTGTAGATAATTGATCTATGAGGAAAATGACTGTCAGATGCCCTTTAAAGTCTTATTAGGAGATCCTTTACAAGGACTATGTTGTTGTGATGGTATTTAAGATTTCATGTAATTGGCAGAAGAAAGATTTTTTTTTGCCCCTGCATTCAATTTACAATCGACAACAGGACCATTATCACGAGGACAATATAGGCGTACAGTATTTATGAAACAGCTAAAAGGGACATTTTGGAATCAAGTTAAAGATAAAACAAAAAATCCACAGATTTTACTCTTTGAATAAAAGTTATTTATCCTTTTTTTAATGTGAAAATGCTCCTAAATTAAACTGAGAACCAAGTCTCTGTGTGATTGTACAAGATTCCATTGGTCACAATGTGAGGCAATATGTTTTACTATTTGCCTTTGACTTAAACATTTGGTAACATGTTTTTGTTTTCATTTATCAGGGGTGCAAACAATAAAAATAAAACCTGGCATTGATTTTGTTTCCAGTCCCTTTCCTTAAATCTTTACAACTTACACGTGTTACGTAAGATCTGTTACAAAATGAGCCTCGTCATATGTTTTCAATGAAACAGCTCATGGACTAGCAATAGAATTTTTTCTCCACTTTGGGTTTGGTTTTATTTTTCTTTCCAATCCAGCCAGCATCCCATTATTTAATCTCTATTCAAATATTATTGTAAAATGTGAGTTTAATGTGATGGTTTCTTTAAAGCATGAACAATATGAAAGATTTACAGTTGATCCTTGTGTCTGGTTCTTCCTGCTCTGAGCATACATGTGAATAATTATATGATCATTTGAGAGTTATTAAATGTTACACTTACACTTCACAGTATGTAGGATGTTATTCTCTTTATAAATATGCCTCATTCTTTGCACTTTGCAAATAATTTTTCACTCTAAATTGGCTCTTTAGAGACTTCTTAACGTATTTCACTGCCGTAAAGATGTTTTTTCCCCAACACTAGGGCTGTCTATGCTGTAATAAGACACAAATACTTTTGAATTTGGTGCTACATGACTAGGGAAAAAGGCTGTGGCATTTGCTTTTGCTCAGTATGTAGAAAACCTACAATTAATGCTCCGGCTGGTGACGTAATCTGAGTTGCCTGTCCGTTAACAATATGGCACCCAGCTAGTATAAAAACGATCTTGTTCTACAGTTAAACATCAAGATATGATATGTTTCTGGAGACATTTTAGGCAACGCAGTAACAGAATGTTGGTTTACATTTGATCAGCAATGCCTTGTTTTACTGCTTGATCTCAGTATGTCGAGCCTTCATTTTCACAATAGAGAAAACAGTATGGCGCCCACTTCCTAAATATGTGTGAAGTTTTTCTATTTAATAGTATGCACCATTGAGGATAACACATTCGAAAATGTTTTATGTCTGCATAATGACAATAAAGTTCTTGAATCTTTGAACAAGTTCTCGAATTACAGCCAAACAGTGCACTAAAAGATGTTATTGAAAACATTTTAGGCAAGAAATACAGCAGAATCTTGGTTTATGTTTGATCAGCACTGCCTAGTTTTACTGTTTGATTGGAGTTTGGGCTGACTATGAGAGAAAGAGAAACAGGGGCTGCTCTCTCTTTTGACTTCTTCTATACTACTTTAATATACTTTTATACTCTCTATGTCCGTGGTGGCAGGCATATGAAAACAAGTACAATCTGTAGTTCTAGCAACAGCCCTTGAGCCAGCAAAAATCCGCTGGATGACACAAAACGCATCATCCAGGAAATCTGAGCTTGAGAGATGAGCAGGGAGATTTGGGTGCTAGTTACATGGAGGGAAGCGCACTTTTGATTGACAATCATATACACATACACACACACCTGTATTTGAGGTGAAAGCAGTTTTTGGTGGGTCTCTTCTCACAGATTCCAGAGGGAGAGGCTCATTCAGCTTCTGGAGGAGAATCACTTCAGTCTTATCTCCTAAAATGCTCGACCTGGCACACACACACACACAAACAGGCAATGGAAACAATAAATATAATGATTAATTAAACTCAAGCAAATGCACAAACATTCCAAGTAAAGCAAGTGAATCCATTTACTTCAGGAGATCAGACTTACAGGTCAGCCATCTCACTTTCATCTGCCTGAGGAAAAAAGTTCTGTCCATCTGCCAGGATGTGTTTGATCAGATCCTCGTCTGTGAGAGAAACCAACAGCTTGGACTTCAGACAGTGTAATAATACAACCACATGCTTTATATGCTCAATAAGCTGAATAACAGGTCTGAAAGCCCCCCTGCTTTGGTTACCTGAGGAGGTGAAGTATTTGTTGCGTTGTTCAGTCCCCTCCTCGTCCTCAGGGTTAAAGTTCATGTCGACACCCAGGTGCCTGCTCCCCTGACCCCTCTTCAGCCTGGGCAGCCCTGCCCCGTGGCCCGCCCCTCCCACCACAGACACATCACTCAACAGCTCCGGCCAGTCCCTGTCCTCCAGCTCCTCCTCTGCCATGCACCAACTTTCCCCACTGAAACAGACAGCAGGAGATGCTTGTTAAGACCCTCATCACACAGAGAGCATTTTGCAGATTGAAAACTTGAGGCGCACCACACTGCCTTTTATTTAATAGAATGCCACTAGTGGAAAAAAACGCTTCTTCTAATTATCCCGTGTAAACAATCTACCGCTCTTTTATTTATTTTATTTATTTGACAGAATCTAGATCTAGAATTGTGTGGGTACATGAGACCCTAAAAAAGAGGGTGGATCATGGAGAGTACCACCAGTTGGTCCAGGAGCTTCGCCTCGATGATGGCTGTTTCCAGACATATTTTAGGATGACTCGGAGCAGTTTGACAAACTGCTGTCTATTGTTGGATGTACAGCTCTGGGTATCCAGCAACCGATACCACCAGTTTCTTCTCCACTGTTTACCAACTGTAAAGTTGTTGTCGTGACCACCAGAGAAGACCTGGCTCTCAAATCATCCGATTGGACAATGAGAAAAGAGATGATGTGAGGCGTATTTTTGCTCTGTGTTGAAGTTTTTTTCAACTCAAGGTGTTCAGAGCACTCCGGCAAAAACGCCAGGCACTTAGAGCGCATCGAAAAGCAAACAACTCAAGCAAAAAGCTTCATTCTCATTAAAAACTATTACTAAAAAGCGTCTCCAGCTGTTAAAACGTGTTCTCTGTGCGACTTCAGCACAACATTCTTCTCTGTCGCTGGTAAAACTTAACAAAACAATCATGTTTCCCAGAGGACAATTATAAATAACACTAGACTAAGTGCTGGGAAAAATTATGGCTTTTGAATTTATAGCTGTTTTGTGACAAGAGATGAATCACTTTGCTCATTTGACATCTAAGAAAGGCCAGTTTAAAAATATTTTTGATCTTTTCTGTGTCTTCTAGAGCACAATACTCTAAATCACTAACCATTTTCCACTTTTCTTTTTACTCTTTATGCACATTATTCTTGTATTCCCTCTAATCCCCACTTCATCTGACAGCTGGCAATTACGCTTCACATTTGTCTTCCAATAAGTGAAGCCCTGCATTATCTAAATGTACTGTCATGGCAACAGAGTAACTCACCTTTTGGTTGATGGAGTGGGCAAATCCACATTGGTTTCTTCTGAGTTGGTCTAAGAGACGGAGAGGGGTGGATGATAGATGGATCGAGTGAAGACAAAGACAGAGACATACACTAATGATCTCACAAGGGACAAGCATAACATTTTTCCTTCCTTGATGGCACTGTGTCTTTTTTCTTAAACAGTAACTAGAATGAAAAAAACATGGGATCTATATCAATTTTATATTGATTCTTCAATGAAGTAAAAAATACATTAAGGCATCTCAGCTAACCCTATCAGGCATGATTTAATTCTACATTCCAGCCCCTCCCCATGAGACTCTACCTCGCCATTAAAAAAGAGGAAAGAACTTCCAGCCATGGAGTCATCCAGGAAGTCGTCAATCTCCACCGACTCCTGATCCACTTGCGGCGGCACCTGCTCCACGGAGACGCACTAATGTTCACACACAGACACAAAATATTCAGCTTCATGTTTGGCTGATTGATGGTACCAAAAACCCTGATCATGTTACCGTTTTGCGCAGGTTTGTGTTACCTTGCTGCGGCTCATTCTAAAGAGCGTGAAGACAAGCAGGTAGAGAGGGTAGACAATCAGACAAGTCACCATGCCTGCTGCCACTGTCTCGCCATTCAGTGAAGAATACCTTGACACAGGCTGTGGGCTGCAAGACAGGATGGCATTGAAATGTAGGAACATCACCTTTTGTCATGTGGACACAAAGACAGGTAGACTGAAAAGAAAAAAATCCTATACCTGTATCTTTTGTTCACCACAATGCCATACCACAGTGTGTTGGCAAATATAAAGAGCTGCAGTAACAGAGCGCAGCACGTGGCTCTCTGCAGGCGGGTGAACGGGCTGCGGGGGGGTCTCTCCCACAGCGATAGCCACAGATGACTCTCACAAAGCGCCCGCTGCAGCTCACATCGCAGTCTGCGGGGCAACTGACGAAGCACGGCCTCCTCTGAAGGTACCAGGAAGAAACAAGATGGAGTAAGCAAAGCTGCTGCATATAGCAGACGCTTATTACGGATGATTTGGTTGCAGTGTCTTACCTGAGGCCTCCACCTCAATCTCTACCCGTCCATCAGTCCTCTCATTGTCCACTGACAGCCACTCCTCAACCAGGAAGTAGTAGCTGCTCCCTGTCTGCAAGTCTTTGACCAAGACGTACTGCAGCATCCATGCCGGGGACAGACCTGAGGGAGGTTAAAAAAAATCATGTTTACAAGAGAGTCGTTCAAATACCAGCTGGTTCAAGTCTGTGTGATTGCTGTTGTGTGCGCGCATGTGAATCAGTACCCTTGTTGTCATGCCAAATTCGTATTTTCCAGACACTGCCCAGGCTGGTATCCGTGGCAATATGAAAGATGTCGAGAGCGTTGCGTGTGAAAGCTCCTCTGCTGTCGAGATGGCGATGTCCGCTGCGGCTCTCACGTCCGTACAGACTGATTCCTACATGAGCCGTGGTGCCTGAAGGGACAGAGAGAGGAACACTGTATCAGCCATTCCAACAAACTCTGAACTCTGCAGCGACTCTCCCTTTGACCAACATACTTAATATGAAGTAATGTAGTTTTTACTTTACAAATAATTAAGGCACTGACCTGACAACAAATTGTTTTTGTATAGAAACTACACTTGATAAAAGAAAGATACACTTACGTATTTCATAAACTCTTTAATTTCTTTGTCATACATGCTCTCTGTCTCCCTCTACCTCCCCCTAGTTTGTCATATTCACGGTGTTTAATATTAATTAATTGAGTCTGTATCGTGTGTGTGTACTTGCTTTCAGTGTCCAAAACATAAACCTCCCTTTCATCCGCAGTGCTGTGATTGGCTTGTAGGCTTTCTTACCTCTCACTGTTGGACAGTTGCTGTTGCGTGCGTGAGCTCAGCTGAATATGAAAATTATTTATAGCTTAATGTTCCAGTTAAAGCAGTGAGAAGTGTGTGGCCCAATGTAGCAGATTGAGGGTGCATATATTTCTGTGTATTCTGTGAAACAACTACTCTTACAGTTGAAATACATAGGGCACAGATGCAACACGTCATGTAGGGTGAAAAACCCTACATGACGTGTAGGATGAAACACAGAATTCATCTTTGCAGCGTGTGGTTGCTTGCCAGCTTCATTGCGTATGTACTGAGTTTTCCCAAGTGATACTGTAGTTGGTTATGCAGGGTTTGTAAGCGTATAGGCTATATGAGCTGGTGCTGAATATAATTAACTGTATCGTTTTCAGGATGCAATGATTTGACTGGTTTATTTTATTAATGTGAAATGTAAAAAAGGCACAAGGTTGCTCTGCTGCTTCGTATTGCCTCTGGTACTAATGAGGTATTAATTTTTAAACAGATTGAACTCATTTATTATATGCAGTTTCTACATGACAGAGCGCTGAGGAGCTGCAAACATAGCTTTCATGGCCAGCGTAGCAACTTCAGTTGAATATAATATAATAAATGTGCCCTGCTACCTGCATGCGGTGGCACACGTCATGTAGCTACTGTATATTTTGGCTGTTAGCAATATAGTTTATCAAAAGATAAAAGACTCAAATGCATGTAACAGAGTAAATGTAACACATAACTACCCACCGCTGCTGACAGATGTCTAAAAGTGACCCACCTGCCCCTCGGCTCCAGCCAGTCTTGACCTGGACCTCATACTTGAAGAGTCCGTCTCGGCCACACAGTGGAACCACACCAGCCCGGCGGAGATCCAGCTGGTCCAACTTGTGCAAAATGGCTGCTGCCACAACATAGCTCAGTACGCCCAATACACACACCAACAGCACAACCAGGTTTGGTGCACCAGAACGCTCCTGAGGGAAAACAAAAATGGTTTAAGGTGTCTGCCAACGTGTTGCATGGGAACAAAAAGTGTTTGTTTTTTGTGATACTGACTGGCACTTTAAAGGTGATGGCGTTGGCTGGTACAAACAGGCCTGCAGCAAAGGCTGTGAGGTGTCTGGTGCGACAAACAGCTCTGCTGGCGTTGGTTTCTGCCAGGGGCACCATGCCATCTGTGCGCCACTGCTTCTCACTCTCACTGAAGTACTGACACAGAGAGGCAAACACGCCGACCTCCAGATGAACACCTACAGGCTGAGAGCTGGGGCTGCAGGGCGTGCTCACGTTGATAAAGTAGTCCAGAGTGGTGTCGTACGACCTGCGCAACACAGGACAGAGGGTTGTGATAGAATTGTACAGAAACTAAAGTACCTGCTTGGTAACCTGACAGCTTCTTGTTGAAAACAAAAATAAATAATTAGTATACATCATATCACATGGTAGTGGATGATCAAGAGCTCTTACTCTGGCGACAGGAAGAAGGTGTATTTCTTGTGATCGAGATCTTGCCCCGTGGTCATACTGAGTGTGATGCGTTTCTTGTCTGTGCAGTTGAACTCATTGGGTTTGTCATGTGAATGAAGGTAGGCTGTGATGTATGGCTCCTCCATGTCCCCTTCTCTTTTATACTTCTCCTTGGCATCTGGAGGCGGAAAGGAAAAACAATGACAAGAATGAAACTGGGTCAGTGCCATCACAAATAAAAATATAAAACAGTATTTCTATTAAACCTCTCTGTACCTGTCATGTTGATGCATCTATAGATAGCATGTAATTTGGCATATATAAAAGCAATATGTTGGCACGCTCATTCAGAATACACAAAGCCTTTCTCACGCTGCAAAGGGTGCCAAAACAACACAGAGTGGTTCTTTATTGATCCCTGAGAGAAAATTGCAGCATCACAGTTTCTTGGACACATTCCAACAGAACAAACAATGAAAGTGAGAATAATAAAAATGAGGAGGCAACAAAGGGTCCATTTCTTTTATGATGCAGTCCAACACAAAAACACTACTATTACAACTTCTAAATACCTTCCTCACACAGATGAAACTCTGACTGAACATTGTAAGCCTAACTAATGGGTGTTTTTTTGTATCGAATACATCATATAATATTAAATATGTGGCGAATGTGAGAACTCACCCTCCAGAGAGGTGAAGTTGAGCTGCACAAACAGCCCTGCCTGTCTGTTGGTGTTTCCCGTGCTGACACTGACGATGACGGAGTCACAGTGGCTGATGTTAATCGCTCCAGCTGTGGGGACCCCTCCAGTGCCAGGACCCTCAGGACCTGCTTCTGCTCCACTACTTCCATTGTTGACGGCAACGGTGATGGCGAGACTATCGTCCAGTCCAGAGATGGGAATCTGGGTGCCATTTTCAGTGCGTAACTCCATGGATGCTACCTCAGTAGAGACGGTGTAGTTTGCCACTTAGTTGAAGGGGAAGGGGTTGGACTCAACCTGGTGAGGAAAGGACGATGGGAGAGAAAATCATAGGAGGAGGAGCATAGTGTATGAGGCGCCTGATATAAAAATTTCATTCGAATATTCTAGCTGATATATCTTACTATATAATGACGAAAACTCTGTCTGCGTCTGTCTGTTCCACGTTTTTCTCCTCATTGACTTGGTCAATCCATGTGAAATTTGGCACAGTGGTAGAGGGTCATGGGAGGATGCAAACGAAGCAATATTACATCAATTGGCCAAAGGGGGGCGCTATAGCAACTGATTGAAATTGCAAACTTTGAATGGGCATATCTCATGCCCCGTATGTGGTAGAGACATGAAACTTTGCACAGAGATTCCTCTCCTCATGAGGAACAAATTTGCCTCAAGAACCCATAACTTCCGTTTATATAGATTGTCCGCCATTTTGAATTTTTTGAAAAACACTTAAAATTGATCTCTTCCTAGGAAGTTTGACCAGTCTGCATGAACATAATCTAGGGACCAATATCTAAAGTTCCCTGTTGGCAAAAGTTGGAAAACTTACTGAAACTGAGCTTCTATAAGGCAATGAATATTGCGGAGGGCGTGGCTCATCACATAAAGATGTATAACATCTCAAGAGTTTCACAGATCACCACGCAACTTTGTAGCCATTTGACCACACATAATCTGAGGGGACCCCTCCATTATTGACCTGATCAAACACAATGGGGGCGCTAGAGAGCTAATTTCTTATCTAGGCCTAACCGCCATATGGATTTTTACTAAACTTGGTAGATATGTAGAACAGGACGCCTCAAGGTGACTGGAGAAATTTAACTCTAATTGGCAACTGGGTGGCGCTATAACAACAGAAAACTGCTTAAAAACTTTCAATAAAGCAATCGTACTATCAAATTCACAAAAACTCTGAATACATTGCTCTTCTTAATGGGTTCAGTTGACTATTTAATCTGCAATTTCCTATGACCTGTATCCCAAACACACACCATGTGGAACTGTACCTGGGCAACTGTGTAGTGGGTATGGACTAGTTTGATATATTTAGCTAATTTTCCTCACAGAAATTTATGTAAAACAAAATGCTGTATGTAATTTTTTTGCCTTTAATTGACAGGACAGCGAAGTGTGAAAGGGGGAGAGAAAGAGGGAGAGACGCAGCAAAGGGCCACAGGCCGGAGTTGAACCCAGGCCGCCGCGGCAACAGCCCCGTACATGGGTCGCCTGCTCCACCACTAAGCCACCGACGCCCCAAAATGCTATATGTAATTTTTGACAATATGTATAGAAGTAAATAAAAAGTTAAATGTTAAATCTAAATCTACATATCAAATGTTAAATCTTAATGTAAATGTTAACTCTAAATGTTAAATTAAACTCTAAATGTTAAATCAAAACATTAAATAACAATTTAGATTTTATATGGTAAATCTAATGTTAAATCTCAAGCTAAATGTTGAATCCAAATGTTAAGACAAAATGTAAATGTTAAATCTAAATGTTTAATCTAAGAGTTAAAAGTTGAATCTAAATGTTAAATCTTAACATTAAATCAAAACTCTAAATGTTCAATCTAAACATTAAATCAAAATTTAAATGTTAAATGGTAACTCTAATGTTAAATCTAAATGTTTAGAAAATATGCAAATAGCTCACACTGCATCTGTAATTTTTCCAACCTACTTTTGATGAAACTATGTCCATTTCCATAAGATAAAAGTATACTTTAGCCAACTAGCATACCAATCTGCCCCACTCCCCAGGAGTCGAAGTGCTGGGTGGAACCTGTGTAACAGCAGCAACAGAAAGTTTGCTGATGTGGCAGAGAGTCAGGGAGGTCTGGGATCAGACCTCTGGTGCTGGGGTTTGTGCTGGCTAAATTAGTGTTGCTACAGCTGCTAAATGGAGGTCTTTCTCCAAAGCTGCTGTCTGCTTGCCTCCTGGCGAAACAGTCTCCTAGTTGCGGGAACTGAGGCTGACAAACTAGCTAAAGTATCCTTTTGTCATATGGAGGTAGATATGGTTTTCATATAAAGAAGGTTGGAAAAAAATGACACAGTGTGGGCTATTTGCATATTTTCTAAACACATAGATTTAATGTTCAGATTTAACATTTATACATTACCAATTATATAATTTAATTTATATAATTATATCTAATAAAGTAAAACACAAAGACATGGAACACAAAACAAGATGTGTGTGCTGGTGAGAGACTTTAGCACAGGCAGTTTTTAATAATGCCAAGGTCTTTAACATGGATCCAAAGGGAAAGTTTAACACAGAATTTTGTACTTGACTGACACTTTTCCTTCTCATTACCTGAAAGAGCAGCTGCATAATGCTGTTTCCTGCAGCAGCTCTGCCAAGACTGTAGTTAAATGCCCTGGGGATGGAGAATCGCTGGCACTCTGGAAATAAAACAGGAGAGGGGAGGAGAAGATTAAACACTGATAAACACTGTTATCATGCATGTCTTTTTTCACTGTACTGTTTATAATGTACAACTTATAGTTTCTTGGGGGATGGAAATGCCCACTTACAGAAACACAACTTTCATCACCTCATGAGACACTAAATTCACAAGCCCACCTGGACTGTTGTTGCCATGGTAGCAGAGGAGGCTCTGGGGGTCCGCCAGTTTTCCTGTGGCCGCGATCTCAGCTCCCCTCAGCACAAGCGGCTCCTCGTTGAGCACCCGGGCGTGCATGAGGATCAGCATGAGCACGGAGGACAGGCTGTACGCCTTAGCCGCCACTCGCAGAGGGTGTGGTTCCAGAGAGGAAGGAGACGGGTCAAACAGGGTGCCTACTTGGTCCTCACCGGAGGAGGCAAAAGAGGAGGCAGAGGGGGGAGAGGGGGAATCCAAGTAGGCAGGCTGTAGGTATGACTGGGATGTTGACTGGCTGACCTGATGGATCAGATCACCTGGAGAGTGGGAAGGAGGTGGAAACAAGATTGAGAAAAAAAGAAAGGTGGGGGGAAAGTTATAAGTAGCTATAAGCAACAGCACTAAGAATAAATTACCCTCCACTTAGCAATAACCATGCATGATTAAAAGACTTCCTGCTAGCTCCTAATTAATGTTACTTTCATTCACACACAACACTGTTCTGAAAAGATCAAAACACTCGTGCACTTACAGAGGCACAAAAAACTTTCTTACCCATGATGTTCAGGATGTTGTCAGCTATCTCAGTCGGAGTGACGGTGCCCTGCTTGGTGTCAGTTTGCAGTATCTCAAGCATGGACTCAAGTTTGTTCAGAGTGCTGTTCTGACACTCCTCACAGATGAACTCTCGACTCACCGCCTGGAGAACACACAATCCATCATTCAACTGCTTTCATGACTGTCTCCTTTTCTGGCTAATACTTTGCACTTTTTTTTTTTTTTTTTTTTAAATACACTGCTGTCTTTATTCCGTTTTTTTCCCTGACATCTTTCCTTTCCTTCCCACCTCACTCCCTCTCATCCTGTCATCCTGCTTACCGTGCACTGAGCCAAAGCAGCGGAGGTCTGCTTGATGTCGTTAACAGTGGTCAGGTCTAGAGCGGTCAGAGCCCTGGTGATGTTGCTGCGGACTCTGACTCGGTAACTGCGCTCCTCTCGGGACACCGGCCGCCTGGTCTGTTCATACTGGAAGAAGGTAAATAAAGGTATAAGCACAATTCATGTATTATCAGCTAATAAATAACTGGTAGGATAAATACATGAATCGATGTTGGCTGGCTTGGCCTCCCCTACCTCATTCAGGACTGTAATCAGAGCCAACGATAACTCTCGGACCCTCTGGGAGTCTCCCTGCTCAAGCAGCTTTTTGAGTTTGCTGTCTGTCAGCTCAGACAGCCAGTGGGGAAGGCTGTTGTACTCAGGGGGCGGATCTGGCAGCACAACTTCGATGGACCTGGACACAAACACAAAACAAAAAGCAGTTATTGAATGTAGGCTTATAACTTTGCTATACTTGTGTGAACTTGGATGATCTCCTGCACTGCTGATGGTTTCATAAAAAGTGCTAGTTAACACAGGACTAACAATTGTACCTTCAATGACAGCATAGATTTTAAAAATTTCCGACACACATGTATATCAAAAATAGTTAGATCAACATCCAGCTTTGGAGACACATGCTAAAGTCAGGGAAATATAAACTTGGTTGCAGATACTGTAAATTTCTCCACAATTTCAGATCACGTTTTTGCTGGAACATGTCTGGTTGTGAGGATTTTGGTTCATAAGCTTATACTGGTGATTTTGTGCAATAGAAAGTGCCACTAAACTGCAATGACAATGCAGAAAGACTAAAAGCGCAGATGCAGAAGATCCAGAAACGCTGGCCAATTAAAGCAGACAGAGCTTTTTCGAGAGGGTGGCTTCAGGCGCTAAAACAGAGCATCTCAGACCGAGGGTGAATACAGGTGTTCCAGCACAGACAGTATAAGGAAAATAAAGTTTTTAAAGTAAAGTTTTTGACCATTAAAGCATGTAAACACATTCTAATAGAAACCTTACACACAGGTATGAATCTGAAAATGAGCACCATAGGTCCTCTTTGTAGTGAAATTCTACTTTTCTACTTCGACAGGAAGGTCAGGGGTAGACAACAGAACAAAAACCTCAGAGATGGTGGGGATTTACTGTACCTCTCAAACAAACTTCAGTTAATACACAGGCTAAGTGAGTTACAGTAGCGTGGGATGTAAAAAATAAAAGGTGGAAGCCTGAATCTTATTTAATTGGTCTCACAGCTGCTTAACTGAGCGAAACAGCTAAGTAAAGTGTAGTTACTTGTTGAGGGCAGTGATGGCAGCTCCCTGGTGGTCCTCCACTGTAATGGATACGGCTACACGGTTATGGGCTGAGCTGAAGCCTGGGGGCAGGAAGGCAGAGTGCTCTGGGCTGCTGCCTTTGTACACACAGAAGTCCTCACAGAGGTCTTCTCTGCAGCGCAGCACCAGCAAACTGTAGAGCAAAGGAGTCTCTGAGACCCCTAAATCACTGTAACCTGGAGGCAGGGAAGTGAGGAAGACAAAGAGAAAGGATGACAATCTTGGTAAATAAGTGATGAGTAATGGAGGCAGGAATCTGCTAATTAGACAGGACAGACTTAAGGCAAAAGAATGAGAGTAAAGTAAGCATGTCAGGTGTGTGTGGCAGCGAGGCCACACCTCTCTCCTTCATACCTGAGCAGTTGAAGTGCACCCTGTCCAACAGCGTGCGTAACCTCCAGACTTCGCCGTCGATATCCCCGTACTCCACTCCCGCGTCCCCTCCCCCTCTCAGGTGACACTCCCCGCCAGCAGGGGGCATATTGTGGTGCAGAGTGATGGAGGCGACGCCGTCCCCATCCAGACTGCCATCGGTCACATGCAAGGTGAAGACGTAGGAATCTTCGTGGCGTAGGACACCCTTCCGCAGCACCAGGTTCATGCCGTCGCTCCCTGTGGTGGTGGAGGAGGAGTCCAGGACCAGAATCTCGTTCTGCAGCGTCCTGGCACTCCAGCGCTGAGAAGCAAAGAGAGAAAGGTTTTAGTAAAAACAGAATTATATTTCCTTTATATAATATTTATTGATTTGAGTATATTTCTGATTAAAAAACATTAAAGCATTAATACATGAGCAGCACTAAGGCAGACTAAAAGCTTTCATTAAAGGTAGGGACAACGTCATGTTTCTTTCTTTAATTTGTTTTCATGTTTGTCATACTGTGTTTGATTCATTACAAAAATAAGGAGCCAGCAGTGATGGGCAGTGCCAATTACATAAATGAATGATTCATCAGATACCATGCTGTAACTGTCCCGGAGGGAGCAATGCTTTTAGCATTTTTTTTCAGGTAGCAGTTTATGAAAAAGGGCCAATTAGGTTGAGGTTGAGAGGCACACAATGAGACATCAGACCAGTGTTGGGGGCGGTAACACATCACTGAGATCACATCACACACGTCTGTAGCCTGGTCAGTATTGTGCGGGCTCTGTGGAGGAACACGTTGTCTGACAAACGATACAAAAGACTCTTCTTGAGGACGTATAACCACTGCTTCACTGATAAACATGTCAAATACTCTGAACTCGTCTAATAATGAATAATAATACATTTTATTTATAGGGCGCCTTTCAAAACACCCAAGGCCACCTCACAGAGAATAAAATACCATACATGCTGAAAAGCCATGGTTTGGTGAATGAGCTTCTCAGTTGAGTTTGCTTGGACTATTAAATGCAGTTCATAACATGTTCTTTTCTCCTTTAAGTCTGTCATGTAATTCTATTAGGAAGGTCAGTTGCTTATATATTATTTATTGATTTAGTTTTATCTTGAGGAGGGACAGGGATTTATGTTCATATGTGGGGATATGTAAAAATTTAAAATCATAACATTACATGGTATTAAGGTGACAACTTGTCTCAGTCGATGCAACTAATGTAACTAGTAGTGTCACAAATAACTTTCTACAGGAAGTAAAAAAACTAAAGTAATTAATCACTTTTTCGTTACTTTCGTTAAAGTAACGAGGAATGTGTACTACATTACTTTTTTTGAATGACCCCAACCCTGCACAAGACAGCTTTAAAGGATGTGTTCAACACTTTTGTTTTGAAAAGTGCTTTGTAAAAAATGTCTCTTGATTTTGCAATACTTGCTTATTGTTAATTTAATATTCTCTTAAAATGTTTATGTAAAGCACCAATACTCCAAAGCAAATTTTCTTGTTTGTGAAAACCTACCTGGCAACAGACCTGACTCTGATGTATTTAAGAGAACTACATGTAGTGAGACAATGGAAAAGGTACCAAATTCAAAATGACCACTAGTATGGAATTTGAAGTAGTGTAATTATAAAATAGTGACTGAGGTTACAGTACAGCTGAGCGCAGTCAGCTGGTATGTGCAATTTGAGGCCCGGTGACTCAGCAAGTGTTTTGTCTTTCAAATTGTTTCCCTGTGTTAGTAAGGACCAAACATATTCTCTCTGGCTCCGGTCGTACGATGACCTCATTCTCACACCCACACACTGCTGCCTGCATCACAAATCCCAGGGAAAGTCTGAATAAAGACGAGAGGTGGAGCAGGAGGAGGAGAAGGATCTGGAAATGTTGATTTCACTGTCGCTTCTGTGGTGCAGTGACCTCTTTTTGGTGTTAGACAGAGAATTTGAGATGCGAAGTGTGCACTTGTGCCTCTATGTGTGTGTGTGTGTGTGTGTGTTTACCCCACGGTGAAAGCCCTGGCAGTTGGTGCAGGTTCCTCTGAGGTAGACATACGAGTTCTGGCTGACCTCGTAGATGGACTGGGCCTTACAGGAGACGCACTCCAGATACACCATGGGAATATGGCCACTCTGTACGAGCACCTGTCACACACAAACACATAAATGCTGTCAAATGTAAGCAATTCAGGCATTGGCTAGGGTGCATCTCTTTCTCTCTCTCTCTCTCTCTCCCTCTCTCTCTCTCTCTCTCTCTATCTCTCTATCTATCTATCTACAGTACAGGCCAAAAGTTTGGACACACCTTCTCATTCAATGCGTTTTCTTTATTTTCATGACTATTTACATTGTAGATTCTCACTGAAGGCATCAAAACTATGAATGAACACATGTGGAGTTATGTACTTAACAAAAAAAGGTGAAATAACTGAAAACATGTTTTATATTCTAGTTTCTTCAAAATAGCCACCCTTTGCTCTGATTACTGCTTTGCACACTCTTGGCATTCTCTCCATGAGCTTCAAGAGGTAGTCACCTGAAATGGTTTCCACTTCACAGGTGTGCCTTATCAGGGTTAATTAGTGGAATTTCTTGCTTTATCAATGGGGTTGGGACCATCAGTTGTGTTGTGCAGAAGTCAGGTTAATACACAGCCGAAAGCCCTATTGGACAACTGTTAAAATTCATATTATGGCAAGAACCAATCAGCTAACTGAAGAAAAACGAGTGGCCATCATTACTTTAAGAAATGAAGGTCAGTCAGTCCGGAAAATTGCAAAAACTTTAAATGTGTCCCCAAGTGGAGTCGCAAAAACCATCAAGCGCTACAACGAAACTGGCACACATGAGGACCGACCCAGGAAAGGAAGACCAAGAGTCACCTCTGCTTCTGAGGATAAGTTCATCCGAGTCACCAGCCTCAGAAATGGCAAGTTAACAGCAGCTCAGATCAGAGACCAGATGAATGCCACACAGAGTTCTAGCAGCAGACCCATCTCTAGAACAACTGTTAAGAGGAGACTGTGCGAATCAGGCCTTCATGGTCAAATAGCTGCTAGGAAACCACTGCTAAGGAGAGGCAACAAGCAGAAGAGATTTGTTTGGGCCAAGAAACACAAGGAATGGACATTAGACCAGCGGAAATCTGTGCTTTGGTCTGATGAGTCCAAATTTGAGATCTTTGGTTCCAACCGCCGTGTCTTTGTGAGACGCAGAAAAGGTGAACGGATGGATTCCACATGCCTGGTTCCCACTGTGAAGCATGGAGGAGGAGGTGTGATGGTGTGAGGGTGTTTTGCTGGTGACACTGTTGGGGATTTATTCAAAATTGAAGGCACACTGAAGCAGCATGGCTACCACAGCATCCTGCAGCGACATGCCATCCCATCTGGTTTGCGTTTAGTTGGACGATCATTTATTTTTCAACAGGACAATGACCCCAAACACACCTCCAGGCTGTGTAAGGGCTATTTGACCAAGAAGGAGAGTGATGGAGTGCTGCGGCAGATGACCTGGCCTCCACAGTCACCGGACCTGAACCCAATCCAGATGGTTTGGGGTGAGCTGGACCGCAGAGTGAAGGCAAAGGGGCCAACAAGTGCTAAACACCTCTGGGAACTCCTTCAAGACTGTTGGAAAACCATTTCAGGTGACTACCTCTTGAAGCTCATGGAGAGAATGCCAAGAGTGTGCAAAGCTGTAATCAGAGCAAAGGGTGGCTATTTTGAAGAAACTAGAATATAAAACATGTTTTCAGTTATTTCACCTTTTTTTGTTAAGTACATAACTCCACATGTGTTCATTCATAGTTTTGATGCCTTCAGTGAGAATCTACAATGTAAATAGTCATGAAAATAAAGAAAACGCATTGAATGAGAAGGTGTGTCCAAACTTTTGGCCTGTACTGTACATATAAATAGGCATGACCAAATAGGAGCCAAAAATACTGAACTTTCTTGCTGTGACTCATCCCTACACTGATACTCAACAGCCAAAGCAAACACAACCACTGCTTAAACTACATCTTCCTCTGAACACACGAACACCTCCTGATTGCTATGTGGCACAAATTACAGAGACAGTCCCCGTGCCCTGAGCTCCTGCTAGTAGTCAAGGGCAGAGTCAGAGTGAGCAAAAGGTTGATGACAAATCACCTCTAACGTGCTCAACATGTTAATGTTATAGTGAGAAAAGACAGAGGAGGCACATAGCTCTGACTAACAGGATGTGACAGGGTCATTTTGAGAGAATATAACACTTAACGCTGCTGCAATATGGGCCCCCAGTTGTACTGACAAAGTTCTGACTTGATTATAGTAATTATTTTAAGGTTTGTATATTAGAGTTAAACCGATAAAACAGCCAAGGCCAATAACTACCAAGAAACGTCAGAAGGAAAAAGACCTCAGATTAATCTTGTGATCCGCTGTAGGGAACCTGACCACCAACTTAAAGCATGCATGTGTTCAGCTGTGTAGAAGAATGCGTGCACTTACAGTCTGCGTGGTGGACTCTGGTGGCATGCCGTCTTTACTGATGGTCAGTTTGAAAGTGTAGTTGACGCCGGCCTCCAGCTCGGAGCCGGAGATCCCCAACACCGGATCGCTGGTGCCCAGTCCGAAGTTCAGAGTGGAGCAGTGCTCTGCGCCCTGCAAGTGACATTGGGCAAAGTTGCTTTACAATCATCTCTTAACTGGATAACCTAAAAAATCTATAAGAAAAGTGAGGTTATTTCAGAGCTGCAGCCAAGATCTAACACTACAGAGGAGATCAAATCGCCCCACAACTCATGAACTGACTCATAGAATTGATTTTTAAGTCCTCTTGTTTATAAAGCCCTACACAACCTAGCACCTTCATACATTTGTGATTACTCCCATTTTATGTTCCCACAAGAGCAGCACCCAGACAAAATATTACGTGAGGCTGCAAACTATGATTCTAATCTGACTTTTAATTTGGGGTAGTGGTACCTTCTTTGATTTTTAAGTGAAGTAAGTCAATACGAAAAAGTCAGTAAACAACCCCTTCGTTCATTCACCATAATCCCATTGCTACTAATTTTCATTCTTAAAAAATACTTCACCCACAAAATGACCATTTGTGTATCACTTTGGCTACTTGCCCTGTGTAATATTAAAGTCATGAAGAAAGCTTTGTTTTTCTTGCATGCCTCCATAGTGAATGAAGAACTGGAGAATAAGGGTGGCTGACATTTAATAACGACAACAGTCTCAAGCATGGACAAGTAGTAGAACTGGGCAAGTGCGTGGGCTTGAATCCTGCTCGTTCATCCCAATGAAATCCTGCCTATTAGCTAATTAATTGGCCAGGAAGTGCTCCTATTTGTCCGTGTTCAAGTAGAAGTGTATTAAATAGTAAGGTTTTAGGGAAAATGCATTTGTTTGGGAAGAACCGAGCATACGACTGGATAAATAAGACTTGGATTTTACTACACGAGTTAGTGAGAGTTTGTAAAATTAAGTTTTGATATAGTTTTGTTGCCCTTTTACTCCAATTCATCAAGTATTTTCTCCATTTTTGGATTTTTTGTTCATCAAAGTTTTCTTCAGGGCGACACAGGAGGAGTACCTCATACACAAACTATCATTACGTGGGCAAAGTATTCCTTTTAAATCTTGTTTGTAATGAAAGAGGGTGGTCATCAACTAAAAACTGTTACAAACGCTGTGATATTGTATTTCAAAGAACAGAAATAAGTCATCATCGCTAAAGAGTGAATGATTCGCGCCCCCCCCCCCCCCAACTCTGATTTTTACACCAGCTCTGTCTTCTCCTACGATTGTAATTGTATCCAAGGTCAGGACAGTGAAGAACATTTCATCATCTGTGTTTCTGTCGATTCTTTTTCCCTGTCATTTCAGCTTTGAGTCCTTCAGAGCATGAAACTCTTTCACTCTTTTGGGTCAGACCAAGTGTCCTTCTCTTTCTTTATCAGCTGCAGCTACACAGCTGTGAGTGAGTGTGTTATGTGCGCATGTTGTTTTTGTGTACTGTAATCGTCAGGGTGGGGAGCAAAGCACCAGCTGTGGAATGCTGAATTTATCTCTCAACAGTTACATAACCCTTTAAGTGCCTGCTTAGATGTACACACACACACACACACACACACACGCTCATGCTGGACACACCCAGCCCATTGGGTCTTATATTGTGGTCTTTTGCTGCACAGGCAGAATGTGTTCCCACCCAGCCAAGGAAGGAGTGTGAAAAACACTAAATGAATTTACACTCACAGTCTCTTACACACACACACACACACACACACTGAACTGAGTTCTCGTCTTCACATTGATGCTGCCAAGCCTCTCTGATGGCAGCTACAGTACAGTGTTCAGGACCAGATGACCATTACGTAATTATTCCACCGTCCCCTTGCAGGATCAAGTCTGTCTTCCAAACTCTGTCTTATGAATTCACCATTTAGGAAAGGCCAATAAAATCTTTGAGAGTGTGGTTTGGTTTAACAATTCAAGGCTATTTTATTTCCATTAGGCCCAAGCCAAATACTGAAAATACAGCATAAGAGTGAGAGCGAGAACTCTACTGAGTGTTGATGTACTTTATATAACTTACTAATAAACAACAGCTCTAATTAAAAATGTTTATAACTTTCTCTTCCCAAATTGTCATGGGTGACTGATGTTATAGTCCAAGTCTAGTTCCAAGTCTTTTTTGATTTTGTTGAGTTGAGTTTAACATTGTCAAATTTGTGACTTAAATCTGACTCGAGCCCGAGTCATGTGACTTGAGTGCACACCTCTGCATTTACAAAGATGCTGCCTGAGTAACATTTTGCTATTTTTGCCTCTTGGTCTTGATTGTTCAAAAATTGAGCATATTCATTTTTTTCATTTCTTGTACAGCTTCGCTGCTTTTCACTATGTGTTACAAAATTTAGATATTACATTTGTATATCAAGGCATGGCTCAAATATCTGTGGTGAGGGCTTGAATACATTAAAAATGTTGCAAAGTCTTGAAGTCATTGCTGGTGTGACCAACAGAAAAATGCCAATTTAACCACCAGACATTATGTGTGAAAGTGAATTTTTTTAATGCCAGCCCTTACCTTCGAAGTGTTTTGACACTCCCAGTAGTAGTGGAGCAGTGACTGGCTGTCTGGGTCCATGTTGGGGTCGTAGGACTGCTCTGCATTGAGTTGCAGGTCCTGAGTCCTCGACCATACCCTGTAGGTGCCCCCTTCTATGATGGGCATCAGCCTGACAAGAAAAAAAGGGTTAACATTAACATGAAAATTCAAATTCAAGTTCTTAACCTTCGCTGATGATTGCGTTTCTGGGCTACAGATTAAATCAGTTAAGATGGAATTCCACTTCTGTGAGGATTAATGGTCTTTGCAGACCTACGCAGAGCAGGGTGCACACCTCCTGACTGGCTGATCTAACTTCCTGTTGGAAAACGTTTTCCATTTTTCCTTTGCCATCTTGTCATTGTACAGTCCATTTATCAGTTATAAATCCATATTCTTTCAGATTTATTTCATGTCTGTATTGATTTGTTTAGGTCGTCTGGGTAAATTATATCTTAGTTCCTGATATCCTCTACGTTTTCTTACATTATGCTAAATGGACACTGCTTTCTCCAGGAGGCAGGAGCTGTTTGTTTAAAGTGACAGCAACTGCCAAATAAAAAGGACTTTTTCACTTACAAAATGACCATTTGTATATCAATTACTCGCTGCATGTTACATTGGATTTGTAAAGAAAATGGAGAATCCAAAAAAGGCAAACATTCTTCATAAATTGAAGTAAACTCTGGCCATATTGAACAGCAGCAAAACTATCAAAACATCTCTTTACAAACTCTCAAACAACTCGTGCAGTATAATCCCTGTCTCATTTATTCAGTCATATGCGCAGCACTTCCTGAACACATGCACACAGACCCCTTTTACTCCAAATCAGGAAGAATGTTCGCCTTTTTTGGATTCTTTGTTCAGTATGGAGGCATGAAAAAGTTTTCCTCACAAATTTAACAGAATACTGGGTATGCATTTAATATGCAAATGGTTATTAAAGTATATAAAGTTTTTGGGTGGATAATTGTGTTGTTTTCATACTGCATCAAACTGTGAATCACTTGCAGAGTAAATTAGGAAATTAGGAACAATAAATAAAGGGTGTGGGTGTACTCCACAGAGAGATAGAGAGTCAAAATTTGTTTCTCCACTGACCTGGTAGCCATGACACTGAGGTGCAGACAGGCAGCCTTCCTGAGCGGCACGCCTTCATAGGACAGAGAAAACACCAGGGTGTAGTTCCCCGCTGCCAGAGTCATCTTAGGTAACGACAGCTGCAGCCGCCGCACATCCACCTCCATCGGCAGGCGAACTACTGGGACGAGCACAGACTGAGAGGGCTGATTCGCCACCCCAGAGGCAACACGGGAGTCTTTGTCATTATCACAGGAGGGTGTCGAGAGTATCTGCCAGAGATACTGAGCTCCGTAGCGTAGGCAGCCTTTCAGGTCCACACTGGCCTCCACCAGAGTGGGCTGGTAGCGCCAGATGGCGAGACGGGGGGCTTGAACCACATGCACTTCTGGCTCCTCACACTCCAATACACTGATGTTCACCTCCACCTGGGCCAAGATCCAGCTCACTAGGTTACTGCAGTTAACCTGGGAGGGAGAAAAACATGCAGGTGAAAACAAAATACAAGAGAGCTTTCAAATACGACATCACATTTTACAGATCAACAAATAAATCATGGATCTATGGAGTACGTGGAATAGTGCAGTTCAGAGAAACTTACTTGGACCAGGTAGTGTCCTGGGTGACTGTACTCATAACCCACAGTTGTGGTGTTTGTGTGAACTTGAGTAGAGCCGTCACCAAAGTCCCACAAGCACTCCACAGGATTGGATCGGGGTGTAACACTGGCCATCAGGGTCACTGTCTTATTAATGAAAGTGTCCCGAGGCGCTGCATACAGGATGGCCCCTGTCAGCAGGTTCTGCACCCGGATGTGCTTGGTGATGTTCTGAGCGTGCAGTGCGTTGAAGGCCTTCAGGTAGATTGTCAATAAACCCGGTTCTTCTGGCGTGTAGAAAACCTGGAGTTGTGTAATCCATCCAGACACCATTTAACATCTGTTTGCCATATTGTGATATTCAGTTATTTATTATCATTATTCATAGTTAAGTAATCTGACCTCTTTGCCCATATGCGGCGCCTTGTGGGAGTGGTGCAGATCAAAAGTCCACAGGAAATGAACAGGTTTGCCCGTCACGATGTTGGCTACGAACAATCGCTTCACGCCTACAGGGATTGCTGCGCTGGTTCCATTGATGGAGAGTCCACGCACTGGCTCCATCACCTCCACCTGGAGGTGTCGCCTCTTGAAACTCACCTGGATGGTCACATTGCAACAAAATATGTGCACTGCATTAGTTTGATTAAGTTGTCTTGCTCACTTTGACATCAGAGTTAAAGCTGGGGTAGGTAGCTTTTTTTACATCATCATTTTACTCTGCATAATTCAAGTGGTCTGAGAGAACACCAGACTTTGGAACCTCCTCTTGGCTCAGTTTTCAGACTTAAGAAAATCCCTATGATGGGAAACCTTGGCCTATCATGGGCCATTTCAGAGAGTGGGTGCTCCTATTGACTGTTCTACAAATGCAGATGCACATGCACGTCCCTTCAGAAGGTGAAAGTCTGAATAAATGGCAGAAAATCCTGCAGAGAAAGTTACTATTTCAGCATTGGCAACAACTGCCTTCACTGCAAAGCAACCCAAAAAAAGCAAGACAGACTTATCATAAAGAGAGTCTAAAGGAGAGTCTCAATAAACACAACATGTCAATATCAGTGAAGCGTTTCAGAGATGGAGAGAAAATGTTGCCAACAGTTTAGCCTTCTGCTAACAGGAGCCAAAGGGTCATGACTGCAGCTAATTCAAATTCATATTTATGTACAGAGCTAGAATCTTGAATCACAGTAATTGTCAGAGAACTGAAGCTAATGGCATTGGGATCACAGTCACAATCAGAAGGACTGAATGAATGACTAGAAGGCTACTCATACAGGTTACAGTATGATGCGTGGGCACATGCCTGTGCTTGTCTGGTGTGAGGGGCTTAGGATAGAGGGGAAAGAGCTGTCTTTCTAGTAAACTGCCTACCCCAGCCTTAATACCAAAAGCAGAAATGTAGTGGTAATTTAATCTTAACTTTATTTCTATTTTCTGTTTAAAGCGTTCTGCATATCGACTTTAAGTGACATTTTGCTCAATGAAGCTGTTTACATTTGCTCTGCTCATGTCAAGGTCTCTCTGTAAAGAGCAGTATGCAGAGAATTGAAGACATTCCCAGTGATGCCATAAGGTTGCTACCACATGTGCTCTTTTTATTGTCACTGAGATAGTCAGCATAGAAGTGTAAAAACATCCAGATTCTGAGCAAATGAATGACGCAAAGGAGTTTATTTTATGTGGTAGTTTTTTGTGTGATGTAGGGATGCACTGATTTATCAGCTGCACATAGGTATCAGACAATATTAGCTTTGTTGACCATCAGTCTATCGGCACATAATATGACATTCACTGATGGCAGTGACCACTTTTTGTTGTTGTGTCACATCAATTTTTTGCAGGCTAAAAAGCAGAACTCGAAACTAACAGCGTGCCGTTGTCCTCGGGACAATAGACAACCTGTTTAGGACAAACAGAAATCTTCCCATGGACGCCGTAGACTCACTACCGACTATCAGTGGACTATCACTATATGGACTACCGACCATATTGTTCCCTGATAATACGACATTGTAAACAGGAGAGGTAGCGAACATTAGCTGTTAGCAGCCAGTGGTCGTAACTAGCAGTTCATGAAGGTTGCACTGAGTTAAATTATGCTGCATTCAAGCTCTATTCAGTAAAAATGAATATTGGGCGAAAGAAAATTATAAAATTTTCATAATGTGTTAAGCAGCAAGAAACTCGAATAAACAACAGCAAAAACAAAATAATGAAAAACAACAAAAAAACATCAGTATCGGCCCAGAACTTCTATCTCTCGCAAATTATCTTATTGTATGCTATCTTAATTTGACTTTACCTGGTTGTGAGCAGTGAGATTCACCATGTACGTATCCACCCTGCTGAATGTGTGGATGTAGGTATGGTTGAGTTCAGGTATGACAGTGGCATCTCCACTGATGCTGAGTATGAGGTGAACGTCCGAGCCCGCTGCCATAGTTATGGTGAACTCCACCTTCTCGCCGACTGCTGCAATCTTCTGACTTGCCCTCAGTTCTAAACCCTGAATCTTGTCCTGAACAAAGAACTCTCTGGAAAGCACTTGACCGCTGATGTCATTGGTCGCATTCAGAGTAACGACGGCTGTTTTCGGCTCCTGGAAAATCAAAGAAGTTTTCCTTCCTGTTTCTGTTCTTCCTTTAAACAGCCATGTCCACGTCACATTGGTGCCTCTCAGTGCCTCCCCCTGGAGTGAGACAACGACGCCTGTTGCTACGTAACCCTGCTCTGTTACATTGGTAGCTGTGAAATTTAGCCCAGAAATGACTTCCTGGACACTGACAATCTCTGAAACAACCTCTGAGCTAACTTGATTGAAGACCTCCACAGTAACCAGCTTTAGGCCAGGACTGATGAAGGTGTGAGTCTTCCAGGGCTCTGTCCACGGCAGAACATCCTCATTCACAGACCAGCGGTACTGCAGGTTCGTACCTTCAGCACTTAATACTGTCAGGTTAGTTGAAGCATTGACTGCAACTGGGTTGTTGCTGATCTGCAGGTACACCCCTCCAGCTGGTTCCAGGAAGAGGATGGTTTTATTGACGGACAGCTGGCCCAGGAGGTTGGCTGCCCGGAGAGAGATGTCACATGGGCCTGGAATGGAATAATTCACTGGCACCGTCTTCCCGCTCATGTTGTAGCTTGAGCTGAGGTTGTCTGGCTCTTTGATAAGGTTCCATGTGAACGTCATGTTTGTTCCTTCCTTTAATCCTGCATGAAGGTGGAGAACACGATTTGTAGCAAAGCAGCAACTGTCCAATGCTGTGCCTTCACCTCCTCCGATGTCCTCCTCTGTTAAAATCTGCAGCCCCTCCAGCTCCCGCTGGACATACAGGAAGATACTGGCTTGTGCCGTCCCCACGTCGTTCTCTGCTGTCACAATGATGTTAAAAGTGCCGACTGAGCGGAAGGTGTAAAACATGGTGTTGGTCCTTGGAATTGGAGTGCAGCGGTCACACAAGATCCAAGAGTACCGGACATCATCTCCCTCGTCCATATGGGCCTCAAAGTGGACTGAGGCATTGAGGGGGACATTTACCAAGCTGGCATTGACGGTCAGTCCACTGATTGGTGCAAGCACAGCGACAGGTAAAGAGGTGTGATTCCTGCTAACTGTGTTGGCTGCTGTCAGTGTGATATTGTAGTTTCCAGAAGTGTTGTAGGTGTGGAGGATATTCTGGCCAGTAAGCACATTTCCATCTCCAAAGTTCCAGATGTAAGTGGCATCGGAAGCCGTGGAAGATGTTGTGAAAGTGTACGGTGCTCTGAGGGTCAGGTTGTTGTATTTAGTGCCATTATGTTGAATAACAATCGGACCTACTGGTATAAAAACCTCAATCGCAACACTGGTGTTGCTGGTGGAGATGTTATTGAAGACAGTGACTGTCACATTGTAATGACCTGGGTTTTTAAATGTTGTCACGATATTCCCAGAACCACTGATGGGCACAAGGTGTTCCTCTCTACCAAAGTCCCACTGATAGCTGTAGTTAAATTGTGGCTCAGCTCTGGCCTGGAACCGGATCTCCTCCCCAACAGCGTAGTGTGATTTCTCAAGGGTGAGGCTGATGTTGGTTAAAGCTGGTTGCACACACACCAACTTGAAGAAGTTGGCCTTGGGGGCTTTGTTCACACCACTGGAAAGCAGCAGAGACAGGTGATAATTGCCGCTTATCGAGTAAGTGTGCGACACTCTGGGGTTGCCGTGGTGTGTTTCATTGGTCCTTCCATCCCCGAAGCACCATTCATAAAGATGAGCCGATGCATTACCAGACACCCAGGCATGAAAGTTGACAGGGGTCCGCTCTTGGACACACCCGGACGGCTCCATCCTCACAACTTGAAAGACAAACACCTGCACTGGGAGGATTGTCCAGCCAGAGCTCACAGCATTCGAGGCCGTCACATTCACTGTGTAGTTGCCCTCTTTGACATATCTGTGTGACACTTGAGGTTCGGAGGTTATGTTGATGGTCCCATCTCCCATGGAGAATGTCCATGTGATGTTATTGCCTGAGGCAAGCCGTGCCCATACTGTCGTAGGACTGTGCAGCTCTGTGGGAGAGGAGCTTCCAGCTGTTAAATCTTCAATTTCCTCATATACAAACATCTCGGCACAAGCCTCCATAGAGCTGATGGTGTTGTTTACCGATACACAGACATTAAAGACACCACTCTGTGCATAGGTGTGTACCACGCGGCGACCTTGTAGCAGGGCTGAGCCATCTCCAAAGTGCCAATCATAGTGAATGCCATAGGGTGACGGCAGGGGGTGAGCCTCAAAATCAGCTGATTTGCCCTTGAGGAGGAGCTGTGGTTCTGTTTGTATGTCAACGCGTGTCAGGATGCTGTAGACGCTCATGTTGATGCTCTGGCTGATGTTCTCATATCGATTGGACACTGACACCAGCGCTGTGTATATTCCTGCACAGAAAGAGGGGAGAAAGGAGGGAAGAGGGAAAAGGAGGTAATACAAGTAACAGTGTTACATATTTAAAATACAAAATATGAATAGCTGTATTCCAGTTTACAGTTATTGTCTTAGTAGATTACTTGTTTACTAGTTTTTTTAATCTCTAACGCCATGCCCTAACTTAGGGACGAGCATCAGCTCAATTGTATTGTTTTCTATTTGAATGTCCTAACTGGTTGCGAGTGACGCAGCTCAGCTTTTTGAGCTGAACTTTTAACGGACACCTTGTTTCTATTTATTCCAGTCACTTGCATTAAAAGCTGTGCAATGGATAAAGACTGGCTGATTGCTGAAGAGTTCTCTGCACACCACCTTCTCATTTAAGTGCAAAAACCTAAATAAGATGTCAGCTGGCTGGAGGGAGAGCTAAAGGAAGCTGAAAGTTTCCAGTTAATGACCATTGCTAATACTTGCTGTTGGCTATATTGTGTGTCGTTTCCAGTAAATTTCACAACATAAAACGTGTTTCCTGTTTAAAAAGTACAAACGTAGGAAGATAGAAAGTATTTAGAATACGTCACTTAGTCTGGTTAATCTAATGGTATACGAAATAAGGCAGGTATTCAGTAATCGGTAGTAGAATGCTTTTTAAAAGTAACCCTCTAAACACTGGTCATTATCTAAAAACAAAACAGAAGTCAAACTGCTGCTACATTAGCTCTGTTCATATTGCTGATAGGGAGAGGGGCGAGGGTTTACCTGGCTGAGAGTAAATATAGGTGACGTTGTTGCTTAGAAGGACCTGATTGGGGGAGTCTGGGAAGAGGAGGGAAGGGGCGTAGGGAGGCTTGTATTCAAATTCCTTATATCCGCCGTCACCAAAAGACCATCTGCAGCACAACAGAGACAATGTGAAACCATTAACTGAGGACCTTCAGAGAAATACATGGAGCTTAGATGAATAAATGCACTGCAAACCATTTCCATCCACACAGACACACACAAACAAACACACAGACACACAGACACAGAGACACACACACAGTCACAAGCTGGAAAGTGGGACTCTTCTCTGACGAGGCAATAGAGGGTTTTTGGACGAGGAGAAGTGGAAACTCAAAACTCAGGAAGCCTCTCTGGACCGAGAATGGTGAGAGTGGAGGGAAACTAAGTGAAAGAGTGTGCCATAGTTGGGAGGGTGGGAATGTGAAAGAGGGAGGGAGAGAAAAAGAGTAAAAGAGAAAGAGTGGAAGAAAAAGGGAGAGAAAAAAAAGACAGGGGAAACAGCCGTGCAGAAGGGAAAATTCTTGTCAGCAATCTGCTCTAACCACACAGTTATAAATCCAAGGCTCTGCATGGTATGACTGCTGCAGTGCTATTATGGCGCACAGGAAGACAAAAACAGAGAAAGGAGCAAAGAGAAAAGACAGAGAGGCAGATAAAGGAAAAGAAAGAAGCAGTCAAATACAAACAGATGCTCTGTGTTTTCACTCAGCCTTAAAAATAAAGCAAATGGGAGACAGATAGAAAAAGAGGCAGCTCTACTTTGTATATTTAGTTTAAAAAATACACCACACAAGATATCTATCTATCTGTCTGTCAGTCTATGACAGTGTCCATCTGTCACTCATCTGGTCATACCGGAAGGTGGCAGCCACAGACATGTCGACGAGCACAGAGGTGGTGAGAGTCTGAGTGGAGCCCTGAGGGACCACATCTGGCACACCCTTTACTGTAAGGTTGGCCATGGGCTGCAGCCGGTCCACACTCACGTTGAAGTGCTCTGTGAGGCTGCTGACATGGTTCATGGCTGTCACCTGGAAGAGGGAGACCCAGTCAGGCGATTGAAGACAGCTGGTAGGAAGTTCAAGTCTTGTGTCACATCTGCAGCACATGCACTTTAATTGTGACACAATGCTATGAAGTGCAAACACATGATCTGAGCTATCTAGTGCGGGGTTCCTACAGCTTGAGGCAAGTAGATTTAAGCCTTTTTTTCACATCACTTAAAATGAAATTTAACAAAAAAAGAACTGACAACAATAATTTAGTGTTAGGGACAACTTTGACAATTTTTTGGTGAAGTTAAAAAGTTAGAGGATCTACTTCAAATATTGAAAAAAAAACTTTCTAGGGTGGAACACATAAAAAAAATCATGTTTCCCATGTCTTAAAAGAATACCTCACACAGAAAATGACCATTTGTACAGCAGTTAGTCACGCCATGTTATCTAATGCCTCAAACAGATAGGTGGACATATGGATTCATGGATTGATTGGGGACCACATCAAGCAACAGCAAATCAAAACATCCATTTACAAACTCTCTCATTACTTGTGTAGTATAATCCAAGTCTTACTTATCCAGTCATATGCTCAGTATTTCTCAAACACATGCATTTTCACTTAAAAGCCTTAGTATTGGCTTCTAACTTTAAAGAGAGTGCAGATAAGTTTCACTTTTAGTTCAGCTTGAAATAGTATTTGGTGAAAATTAATGCAAGGATATCAAAGCCTTTTAAGACTTTTTAAGCTGAAACCATGAGTCTATTAACCAGTAAGTAAGATAGTAAATAAATCTGCAACCACTTTGATAACCAAATAATCCTTCTGAATTATAATAAATTGAAACCTGGTTGGCATATTGGACTTCAGACAGAAAAATGCAGTCTGAAGTTGCTACATTGGGCTCTGTGAAACAGTGAACATTATTTCTAAGGAAATTTATAGACCAACAATTAGTTGAGGAAAATAGTCGGCAGATTATATAATCGATACTGACAAAAATTGTCTCCGGAGAAAAATAATCATGCTCAAGGAAGATCTTTAAGAAGAAATTGGTGATAATGGTGATAATATGGAAAGTTTTGTGTTTTGCACTTCAACATAATTAATAACTGAAAATTGCATTAGTGCAAAATCATATATTCAATTTTTTTTAGAGATGCTATTAACAGAAATACAATAATATCTAAAATCTATCAAGAAATGGAAATTTCCATGTCTTCAGGTTTTATGCTGTTTGTGAAACTGTCTCATCACTAATGTTAAACCTTCCAGTTAAAGATGACTTTCCAAACTTGAGGCACAAAATAAAAAGTTGCCTCAGTCTAACCACAACTTAAGCTGTTTACTTTGCATACATAATGTCAGTGTTTACGGACGCCTCATTAATAACCTGAATATCAAAAACAAACCTCATATAAGTTTAATTAAAATAGTTAATATTCCAGCGTTGGATGGTAACAGACAGGACAATCTGGCAGGATGAGTCAAACAGGATGTGAACAGACACTCACTGTGAGTTTGTAGACAGCAGCATGCTGGTAGATGACGTTGAGGACAGTGTTGTAATAGGTGAAGTACGGCTTGTCATCCACTGTCCATTTAAATGTGGGACTGGTGCCTTCGAGCACTGATGCTGTGTAGCTCTAAAACACACACAAACACACATATTGAGACATGAAAAAACGTATAATTTAATTTTTATATACTTTATTAATCCCCGAGGAGAAATTCATGATGATTACAAGTACAGTGTGCATAATGTCAATATCTAATATAAATTCCTAGTACAACTACCACTGAAGTACACACTCACCACCACTGACTCCATCAGCACCCTGTGTGCAGGGTGCGGCTTCACCATAAGTCCTCTGAGCGGCTCTTCCAGGTGAACAACCACAGACAGGCTGGCCTCCGTCACATTATTACTGGCCTCCAGCTCCAGCTGCACTGGACTCCTCTGCTCCTCTGTTTGCAGGCTCAGATCCATCATCGCATACAGGCTGGGCTCTGCAACCTCGACCCCTGACCCTGAGCTTGGCCCGGGCTGACAGAGCCCTGGGTTGGAAGAGAACTCCTCCGGACAGTCAGGCTGGAAGGTCACACTGTGATTACTGCCACGCCAAGAGGCCTTTGTCAAGTAGCGAGACTGGACGCGGAGCAGTAGCTGGGTGTCATTAGGCTGCAGGTAGAGGGTGCCATTTTGGGGAGGGGGGTGGAGGATCGTCAAGCCCAGAGGAGGCACCACTCGCAATGGGCATGATGCTGAAGCTGGGTATGATGGCTCAGCTGAAGTCACCTGGAATTTATCAACAGAATTACTGATACAGGACAAAAATGAGGTAAAGACATATATATTGTTTATACAGTAAACACTTAATGGATGTTGATTTATTAACCTGTGTTGGAAAACAACACGTAAAAATATAGATATATGCTGGGATTTGACACACAGCTTTGATGTCTTACCAGGAGGCTGTAGAGTCCAGGCTGGGGAAGACCAGCAGACAGCTGAGCTCCCTGCAGCTGAGTCTGACTGTGTCCCACATAGAGCACTCTGATGGGGCAAGCTACATCCTCCAGCCAGCTTCCCTCACCATCCTCCACCAGCGCCTTCACATCAAGCTCCGGGTCAGGCAGAGGATCAGCGTCATGGTCAGCTGAGGTGTCAGTTGCCTGTCCGGTGCTGTTGATCCAGAACCACTCCGACTGGTTGAGGGCTAAGACAGGTTGTCGCCAAGGTGAGTGTGGGGAAGACTGGCAGCGGAGGAGGGAAGCGGGGCCAGCATCATGCTGCAGGGCAATGACATCGCCACGGGAAACCAGGAGGTCCTCCAGTATTTCTTGTACCTGGGAGAAACAGAGATCAGGATGGTGTGAGTTAGGCCATGTTCACTGAAAACAGCTTAACCAATATGGCTCAAAACACACTCAACTTAAAGCTGCGGTCATCAAATGTTAAGTTTGGAGGCAAAATCAAGTCTTCTCACCAGTATGTGTGCAGCTGGACCTGCTGGTAGAGTGAAGACCACCTCATTCTGCAGGGTGTATCTGGGCCTCAGTGCCCCAGAGGGCAGGCGGTGAGCCTGGGTGCAGTTAGGACAGGAAGATGCCTGGCAGGGACTAGAGAGAGGAAGGCACTGGTGTTGGAAGGGACACCACTGCTCTAGTCGGGGACAAGAGGGTGGATCATCGCTCCTGGTGTCATTGGGGACACAAACAGCCACTGGGGCACACGCTGGACCTCCACAACCTGAGACAAAAGCATAGACTGTGTAAAAAAATGAACGTAGCTATCACCTATTGGTTTGTGGACTCCCCCCCTTTTTTTTAAGCCTCGAATTCAGCATTTCAGACATCACCATCTTGTTTTTTTTTGGAGCAAGAAGTGACCATAGGACCTTTGGATGAGAGGGTGGAGCTCTGGAGAAGAGAGGGGTGGATCTGACACACAGACTGTAGTGACAAATTGCAGACAGCCTGTCACTCAAATTGGTCATGAACTTTAACTACAATCCTTAATGAAATGTCAGGTGAGTATAAAAAGGCACACCTTGTACAGCTGTCATGAAGTGGGAAATTAGCTAAAGAGAATAGGTTGTAAACTGGGGAGCTGGGCAATTTAACATGGCCATTCGAGAACTGCAGTTTTTGGCACTTCCATGTTGCCTTCATTTTGTATGTTGTATGCCTCCGGGAACCAGTCAAGTTGCAGTACTGCTTACATCCATGTCTGTGAAAACATGGATTCTTCACACACATCTTCTACCCGGCAACACAGAAGAGCTGTAAAATCAGCACAGTTTCAAGGTGAACACCCGAGATTAGTGTCACCAGTTCAGTATCCGAAATGTCTCCCATTCTGCTCCTGAGATCCGATGTTGAATAATGGCCAGAAAAGTGTTTCTGCAGGACATAATGATGTCACAGTGAGGTTGACCTCTTAGATATAAAGTGTCATCACTTCATCATATTATCCTATTAGAGATATGTGTGAAATTGTGACAAAATTAGCGTATGAATTCTTGAGTTATGGCCAAAAGATGTTTGTGAGGTCACAGTGACCTTGACCTTTGACCACCAAAGCCTAATAATCGCTGAGTCCAAGTTACCGCTGCTGCCAAATTTGAAGAAATTACCTCAAGGTATTCTTGAGATATCGTGTTCATAAGAATGAGACGGATGCAAGATCACAGCGACCTTGACCTCTGACCACAAAAATCTCAGTTTAGCCTTATTTCCAAGTGAACATTTGTTCATGAGAATTCGACAGATGGACGGACAACCTGAAGACATATTATCTCCAACAATGGTTGTAGCGGTGTGGAGGCAGAGAAAAAGCATTATTTCTTTCCTGTTCCCTTTCACTGCATTACATTATACAAGCTGGTCATACATGTACGCGATGTAGGGCTGTGTGCAATCTCAAGTATACAGCTGCAGAAAATGTAAATACTGAAATAGTAACAGTGAAAGTACCTAATAATTCATTTTGCACCACTGAATGTGGGCTCCATATATCATGATTAATAATAACTTCCTCTGTTTTAATATGAAAGGCTTTACTTCAGGAGAAAGTAAAAAGGATTTGCCTGTCACTTCTCATCTAACAAGCACAATGGAGCAAAACTGCAGATAAATAGATTGAATTACTGGAACAAAGAGAAGAAATCAAACAAGTATCACACAAAAGCCCAAAGTCATCACTTGTGGAATCTGAATGTGTTTGGGTACTTGTAATGGGAACATAATTAGTGTGCTGGGCTGATATCTATCTCAGTGCAGGTTAGAGCAAATGTCATTTTTGTGTCATTAATAATCCAGTTGCATTATCTCATTATCTCAACTGTCTCCTCCGAGGCTGCATTCACAAATTCAACATCAAAGTTTCACAGAAAATGCTCTCTCATGTCTTTAACCAGCAGCTCTCTGCAGACTTCTGTTTCTCACATCTTTCATGTGCATCCGCTTTCCACTTGTCTGTCTTTTGTACTTCTCTGCTGCTTCGTCTCAGTGGAGATGCACAAAAATAAACAAAACAAAGCATCTCAATTTTTTTGTGTCCTGTGCTGTGCAGTGCTGCAGTTATGTGTCATGTGTGTGGACAGTGAAGGAAGCACTCAGAGGGGACGTGACCTTGATTGGCCTTGTGTTCGTCCTCTCCTGTTTTTGCCCTACTTTCTGCCTCAATTCTAACTTTACTTTGTGTTTACCCACCTAACAACTTCAGACAAGGCTGGTCAGTGTGTGTGTGTGTGTGTGTGTGTGTGTTTGTCTACGTGGATGTGTTTGTCTAACTGAAGATGTGGGGGCGCAGGTGGCTTATAGGTGTTTAACCACCTGCTGATACTCACCAGGAACTTGCGAATGGTTTTACGTGTTGTGCGTGTTTGTGTTTGACTCACCAGGCAGCAGCAGGTGCAGGTCGGGATAATGACAGTGAGGTCTGTAGGTCTGGAATCGGACGTGGATTTGTGAGCTGAGCTCTTGAGTGACAAACTCTAGGGAGGACAGACGACCTGCCTGAACAAAGCTCAGAGCTGGGAACAACAGCACCTGAGCAAAGAAATGAGGACAACAGACAGACAGGATGATGAGGAGAAGATTTGAGGAGAAACGATGATTAGATAAACAAGCCGAGACTCCTCCTCACCTCTATGCCGCCGCTAGAAGGTTGTGGGGCAGACAGCTGAGAGATCGGGGCACGGTGCAAATGATTATGGGATGGAAACACAGCCATGCCCGCAGTGTAAATCCCTGCATCTGGAACACGCACTGCAGAGGCAGAAACAGATTGGAGCCAAGGTGACAAAAGAGAGTGGAGGATTGAGGGATTTAAAAAGAGGAGAGAGGTAGTGAAGTGATTTATAAGAAATGGTGGCTGCAGTCCACTCACTAACAAAGTGCTTTGAGAGAGAGACAAAGGAAGAGGTGTGAAAGAGAACAAACCTCTGAGGACACAGACCAAACAAAACTACTGTTAAAGATATTAAAGGCAGAACACTTCAGTGCACAATGTATCGGCTCACTGTAGACTGACACAAACACAATGTCGGAGACAAACTGTACGAAAAAACACAACTAGACAGTCAGGCAGAGAGATACACACACACACAAACAACGGCCTCACATAACCACTTCATTTCACACTGTTACACTTAATTTAAGCTCAGTTTGGAAGACGGTTTTAGGCTGTGCTGGTTTTGCTAAAGACGACTGTACTGTACATTTATCTGATTTATTTGCGTCATTTTTTAATTTCATTTTCACCGAGAAAAAAAAAAAAAGATGATGATGTGACTTCTGCTGGGGTATGAAGCAAACAAGCATGGTCCATTGCATCTGAAATATGATTTGTAGGCATCTCTGTAGTACCATAATGCTTCATTTAAAGCAGTATGGTGTGACACATTTTAACTTTATCATACAATTGCAGCTACTGCAATCGTATTGAAATTTTGATAACATTTTGATTAATTGTGCGATCCTAGTGGCAGCTGCTCTCCACAGACAGCATGACCCAGGGGATGATGGGAAACATCTGGCTGTCACCTGATCAAAAAGCTGATTGGCTCTTAGTTTTAACCATAAACACAACGTTTTGTGGAAAGTCATAATTTTCTGTGTAATTGCAATTTTTAATACTATCGTTAGGCTGTTAAGATTTAATGTGTTACCAGATATCAAAATACTGCCTGTGATTAATAATAATAATAAAGGTTATTTATATAGCACTTATTAAAACAAGCAATTAAAAAGTGCTATACAAGGCACTCATCTCCACAGGATGCCTCACTTGTCACACCACAGTGAGAGTCCTGCCCATGGACCAAGTTTTCAAACTTGACTGGGCACTACTGTTACAGTGACATGTGACCCCGTGATGTCACCAGGCCAACAAACCTCACCTTCTTGGTTTGGTATCAGGCTATCTGACAAAGTTTTCAAACTAACTTTTTCAAGCAAAGGAGAGCGACCAATTTCCTCGGATCAGCACCACTCACACAGAAAGGACTGCATCTGGAACCCTTTCCTCTGAGCCAAGCTTGTCCAACTTGCTAAGAAAAGCAGCATGCCACGGCATCTCTTAGTCCCCTCTATCCACGGACTGGTAATGCAACAATTGGCCAGAACATTATCACAAGTGTACAAGCTAAGCAAGACTGTTAAACTCTGTCAACTGTAATAAAATGCTGTGCATTGACTCATTGTTGTGATTGTTTTATAGTTAGGTTATTGGTTAGTTGGTTTCACCAATGCTACGTTGATGTCAGTCAGTCCTGTATGCAACTTAACGTCCTCTTTACTAACCCAGACCCTTTCGCAACATACATCACATACAGTACAGGCCAAAAGTTTGGACACACCTTCTCATTCAATGCGTTTTCTTTATTTTCATGACTATTTACATTGTAGATTCTCACTGAAGGCATCAAAACTATGAATGAACACATGTGGAGTTATGTACTTAACAAAAAAAGGTGAAATAACTGAAAACATGTTTTATATTCTAGTTTCTTCAAAATAGCCACCCTTTGCTCTGATTACTGCTTTGCACACTCTTGGCATTCTCTCTATGAGCTTCAAGAGGTAGTCACCTGAAATGGTTTTCCAACAGTCTTGAAGGAGTTCCCAGAGGTGTTTAGCACTTGTTGGCCCCTTTGCCTTCACTCTGCGGTCCAGCTCACCCCAAACCATCTCGACTGCGTTCAGGTCCGGTGACTGTGGAGGCCAGTTCATCTGCCGCAGCACTCCATCACTCTCCTTCTTGGTCAAATAGCCCTTACACAGCCTGGAGGTGTGTTTGGGGTCATTGTCCTGTTGAAAAATAAATGATCGTCCAACTAAACGCAAACCAGATGGGATGGCATGTCGCTGCAGGATGCTGTGGTAGCCATGCTGTTTCAGTGTGCCTTCAATTTTGAATAAATCCCCAACAGTGTCACCAGCAAAACACCCCCACACCATCACACCTCCTCCTCCATGCTTCACAGTGGGAACCAGGCATGTGGAATCCATCCGTTCACCTTTTCTGCGTCTCACAAAGACACGGCGGTTGGAACCAAAGATCTCAAATTTGGACTCATCAGACCAAAGCACAGATTTCCACTGGTCTAATGTCCATTCCTTGTGTTTCTTGGCCCAAACAAATCTCTTCTGCTTGTTGCTTCTCCTTAGCAGTGGTTTCCTAGCAGCTATTTGACCATGAAGGCCTGATTCGCACAGTCTCCTCTTAACAGTTGTTCTAGAGATGGGTCTGCTGCTAGAACTCTGTGTGGCATTCATCTGGTCTCTGATCTGAGCTGCTGTTAACTTGCCATTTCTGAGGCTGGTGACTCGGATGAACTTATCCTCAGAAGCAGAGGTGACTCTTGGTCTTCCTTTCCTGGGTCGGTCCTCATGTGTGCCAGTTTCGTTGTAGCGCTTGATGGTTTTTGCGACTCCACTTGGGGACACATTTAAAGTTTTTGCAATTTTCCGGACTGACTGACCTTCATTTCTTAAAGTAATGATGGCCACTGGTTTTTCTTTAGTTAGCTGATTGGTTCTTGCCATAATATGAATTTTAACAGTTGTCCAATAGGGCTGTCGGCTGTGTATTAACCTGACTTCTGCACAACACAACTGATGGTCCCAACCCCATTGATAAAGCAAGAAATTCCACTAATTAACCCTAATAAGGCACACCTGTGAAGTGGAAACCATTTCAGGTGACTACCTCTTGAAGCTCATGGAGAGAATGCCAAGAGTGTGCAAAGCAGTAATCAGAGCAAAGGGTGGCTATTTTGAAGAAACTAGAATATAAAACATGTTTTCAGTTATTTCACCTTTTTTTGTTAAGTACATAACTCCACGTGTTCATTCATAGTTTTGATGCCTTCAGTGAGAATCTACAATGTAAATAGTCATGAAAATAAAGAAAACGCATTGAATGAGAAGGTGTGTCCAAACTTTTGGCCTGTACTGTACATATATACTCACAATGACTGGCTTTCAACAAAACTATGATCAGAGAAAGAACTCAAATTTCCCGCTTCCTCTGTATTGTTTCAGCCATGTTGTTGGTAAGCAGATGGCCTTTGTTTCTCACACACACACACACACACACACACACACACACCTTTTTGTCATTCTTTCTCTCTCTCTCACACAGAAACAGACACAGACAGACAGACGCACACACACACACCTATGCTTGTATATAGTGACTAGTTAGAACTTGTGTGTTTTGTCTTTCTTTGTGAATAAATACTTTTGGAATCATACCTGCTCTCTAATATTGCACGAAAGTGTATGAACAGTCATCCTCTGCTATGTCAAGAACTTCAAAATCCTTCGACCTTTACTACCAATATAATAATTTTGGGTAGAGTCATCAATTTAATTATTAATCAGTGTTCCAAAATGATAGTTTATTCTATTTTATGAGACTGATTTCATGAACTGGCTATCATTTTTCCCTTTTCAGGAATGGTGCCCCATGAGGTGATTTAATGTAAATTGAGTCACATTATTTAACATAATTAACAATAATCATCAATATTACTTAATCATTTCTGATAGCCATATTGACACTTTAAACCAAGAGTTCCTGTCAACGGGTGACCCATTACAAGGTCTGGTCTCAACACCATGTTACACCTAGGTGTGGTAAACACTGCAATCAAATGTGCTTTTAGTCCTTAAGTACAGATCTCCAAGACTATATGAAGTCTGCTTATTTTCTACACCTTTCAGCTTTAAAGGCCATTGTTAATTTAATGTTTTTTCCTTGACAAATGCTGTATGAATAGATAGAAATGATGACAAATGGGAATGCTTACACCACAATTATCCAACATTTATCTGGAAGAACTGTTTCCATTCCTCCCTGTCCATCTAGTCTGAAGATGCTGGTCCATCACACAAACAAAACCCTACCAGCAATACTATATAAAGTATGCCTTGCCAAAATATTCTGATGCAATTGTAATGCTGGACAAATTGATGGAGAACACTCTCTGGATACTTCTTTCACAAGGAGCAATTTGAATCAATGCCAAGTGGTCTCCAATTATAAAGGGTGCCTCAGGGAGCCAGTGACGTGCTTGTGATTAGTTATGAAGGAAGCGGTTTGCTTTTTCTATTCTGGTTTGTGCCACAACTTCATTTACATAAAACTGACAGTGTAGAAGGTACAAATCATTTGCTCTTTGTCCATATGGCTAAGGTGCCGAGGGATTTTGGGAAACTGCATTTGCAGTGAATCTGTACCTCAGTATTTATCTTTTTAGTTCTGATAATGGGTTTCTAGCACACACTGTATAAAACAAAGGAGGCAGCTACTGTGATGTCACCCAATGGTTTGTGGACTAATGTTCTGAAATCTGAAGATCCATATTTGGCTGTCACCATCTTGGTTTTTTGAAGCCAAAAGTGACCATATTAGATAGAGAGGGTGGAGCTGTCAAGGAGTGAGGGTCTGATCTGACTAATAGACTGGGGTGAATATGTAACTTTAACCCTTAATAAAATGTAAATGGGTGAAATATATATAAACATTCATCCCCAGTTGGGATCGAACCAGCGACTGCTGTGTCAAGGGCATAGCCTTCATACATGGGCACCTTTTAGATCACATTGTAGAGTGGGAGCCCCATGCACGAAGGCAGTGGCAGCGGTTGCAGGCTCTATCCCAACCTGTGGCCCTTTGCTGCATGTCATCCCCCCTCTCTATCCCCCCTTCACTCTAAAAAGCTGTCCTATACAATAAAGGCAGAGTGCAAAAACAAAACAAAAATCTTTAAAAAAAAAACTTCTGTACAGTTAGAGGCCAAAACCGTTGGGGTTTTTTTGTTTTTGTTTTTTAATTAACCAGACTTTAAACATGTTTATTCCTGCTGTAAAGTTGGGCATTGTAACACGGGGGTCTATGGGGATTAACTGGCTTCCGGAGCCAGCCTCAAGTGGCCATTAGAGGAACTGCAGTTTTTGACACGTTGGCGTTGGCTTCATTTTTCAACCCTAGATGTTGCTGCTCGGTTTCCAGGCATTTGAACAGCACCATATGTTTGTGTGCATATGTCGGTGTGTCTGTGTCAAATTATGGAGCCTACCTTGGGGGCTGTACTGGCAGACATAGGCCCGCTTGGCATTGCATGGGTGTGAACTGGTCTGAGCGCGCTGATCGAGAGACACGCACACATTTCCACGGGAGATCGGGGACCGAGGCGGCGGGCCTTCCTCTCCCTCCTGTGCCTCTGAGCCGTTCACCCAGCGCAGCTTGCCTGGAGAGTCGACATCACTCAAGCCCAGCCACACGCCTCGCTCCCTGGGACAGGAAAAGACAGGCAGGGATTTACACAGCGCCCACTTGACATCCAGCTGCGTGGCTGTTGGCAGCTGGAAAATTGGCTCTATCACTTGAAACGTACACAGAAAGACATACAAACATTATCAAATCTTGGGAAAGGAAAATGCCATATGAAATTGAATGAATCAAACGTGCAGGTCAAAAATCACTTTTTTATACAAAGCTGTTGGAGTGTGACAGTGCTGACAGGCAAACAACACACCACAAAAACCTGCTTTCAAAACATCTACACTTGAATCATCGAGGGTCTCAAAGCAACATTGAAGTTTGTGCATTATGCACCAGCTTGCCTTCAACAATCAATGATTGCCAGGCAGAGAACGCCTGCAAATGGGATTTGATTGAAGCCCAGTAGGATGTTGAAGAGGGGATGTCAGATATTTAGTACGTCCCTGTGATTACAACAGATAAATTGGATTTTCACTCCATGAGTCCACTAATGGACTGCACATTTTCCTCCACTGTCACACGCTGTTAACTGAAAGCAAAGTGGTCTCCCTTCCAAGAGAAAAGTTGCTGTATGACTCACTAAACAGATGCTAGAAAATGGAAGCCAGTGTCAAACATTTTAGACATTTTGTTTGATGCTGGTCTCAGTTGTTGTCTGACAGGTCCATAAAATTCACCCGGATAAAAGCTATTTCCTTCCCTGTACTTTTTTCTTTGTTTCTTTTTTTTTTTTTTTTGATTTAGACTTTTCTACACTGGCTGTCTACTCACATCTGTGAAAACGACATCTGAAGGAGAGGACAGGGGTTAAAAAATACAAGCAGAGAGGGAGCAAGAAAAAAGGGTCTTTGTGGCAAAAAACAAGACCTGATTTAGAAAAAAAAGTGCTCCTTATATAAGCGAGGGGGTGGAGGAACACATGAGCGGAGGAGGAGAGAGGGGATAAGCTCCATCTGCAGCAGGTTTTTTCTTCTCTCATCCACTTTGGTCTACGAGGGCAGGGCCTTTACCCTCACATTAACACACACAGACACACACACACAGCATGAACTGCGGACTCCTCCTCCCAGGGTGTTTAAGTAACAATGCAGCTGTGCTTTTACAGATGTGTTTTTTTGCGACCCTCTCCAACCTTAACACCAAAACTGGGGGCCTTAAGAGCAGCACAAGCCCAGAAAGTTTTTTAACAAAACAAAGACAAATCTAGATTTTATATCAAACAGACATACAGTTCATGTCAGGGCTGTACCAAATGCTTCAAAGCTTCATTTATAGTGTTGACATTCAAATTCTAAATTAACATTTATATGCTGAACAACTTTTTCCCTACTTTTTGCATGTGTTTTCATTCTGTTTAAACCTTTAAGAAAAAGATCAGGCTATACTAATATTATTAATGTAAAACTATTTGTAGAATGAAATTCCAGTGGCGGCTGCGTAGGTTTGTTTCCAACTAATGTGATCCTAGTATTTCCAATAACTGCAGTGTTGTGACGTACAAGAGTCAGAATTCATTTAAAAAAAGATAGATTCATGTTTTTATCATATTTATTACATCTACTGTTGTTCAGTCTATCATAAACAAAATTTCAACTGCAGTAAAAAAACAGTTTGCTCTCCTGCTTGCAGCACACAAAGGGTCACATGCACCTTTATTAAGTGGGCAGTCCAGCAACAGTCTAATAACAGCCCCATAAATTCCATTTATTCCTTAAAGAAATATGATTTAAATAAAAAAAGAACCCATTTAATTCAATGGATCTCTTTGTTATAACTGAGGGCTTTGTCCAAGAATACTGTTGCAGGTAATGACGACATAAAATATGACAACAGCCATTCAAAAGCTTCATTCGAAAACCTCAACAGAACCTTCGAAATCTATAAGAAAACCTTCTTTAAAGCCCACAGTAAAGACACATTACCATCTTTGTGGAACGCAACTGTTTACTGTTACCCTGACTCACCCTGAGGTCAAAATCTGTTCACATCTGAATAATCTCTATACTATGTAGGTAAAAAACAGCAATGTAAGTTTAGTATGCAGCCAGAGAACAATATAAATGAATGAACAGATGACAACAAACAAAGGGCAAATAAACAAGAACTAAGCTTCAAGGCGTGGCATTCATACACAGCAAATAATGAAAAGCACTTGAAAACAGCCTCATATCTGAAGAAACACATGCACACACATATAAAAAACACAGAGAGTCACATTCAATCAAGAAAGCCTTCACACAGACGGGAGATGGGAAGCATGGAAAACACACTTTTCATCCCCTCATCCGAACCATGTACTTTGTCACTGTCAGTGATTGTGTTGCAGAGCTGGCAGGTTGTCCGTTCACAAAATACAGGACGATTGCAAATAAAAAATGCCAAGAGAGAACACTGAGACCCCATTTCTGCACCGTGTGCAGACAGAAACACTCACTGTGTGACTCTGGGTGCCAGCAGGTTACGCAGCGCGTCACTCCTGACTATTGCCAGATCCCCGCTGCGATCTAAACACTGCTGTCGAGCATCTGTCCAACTCAACTCCCCAGGAACGATCTGGAAACAGCGTGAGGAGTCGGCGTGGTACACCCCGTCCTTTGGACAGTAAGGGGAGGCTGGAAGAAGACAGAAACACTCACATGATTTTTCACATCATGTCAAGTCACACGTGCATCATGAAAAGACACAAGCATTAGTTTATTGCTAAAAAGACTTGACCTCTATATGAAAAGAAAATGTTTTATTTCTAAATAACATACATGCATTCTGACTACACTCTTGAGACATCATTACAATTCAAGGTGTTCAAAATGCCAGCACTGTTCAGACAGAATTTGCATGTCACTTCAAAATATATGCCAACATTTAGGGACTTCCAAAGTAACACACTGAGTGAAAAAGTATGGAAAGAAGGAGTAAAAATACTGAACCCACATTAAGGATGCACTATGTTATTCATTTTTTGTGAGCACTGAATATTTATTATGGCATTAATGTGACCTTTTCCTCTAAGAGTCTGTCTGCACCTCCATTTCCATTAAAATCTAAATATTAAAATGCATAACGTTTATTGATACAGGTAGGGAGACATTGGCTGTTAGCTACAAAAAGTGTCTTGTGCACATGTATTTTACAGTGTTCAGTTTCTGATAAAACCTTGAACAGCAGTCTGTCATGTCGTGAGCTTCTGAAAGGCTGAGATAAAAGCAGACAAGACAAGGAGACACAAAATGTGTTTACACAATGTAAGAAAAAAAAAATCTTCTATTAAAGACGGACAGGCCTTTCTCACATACATCACATACAAGGACACAAAAACACTGCGGCTGAAGCAGCCAGGCAGTGACATGTCTTGTCTTTCCTATTCCCACTTTGTCCTCCTGTGAATCATATCGGTGAACACTCTCACTTTATACGAAGTAGGCGCACAGTGTCTCAAACAAACAACTGGCTGCAAAGGTCAAATAATAGTAAAAAAAATATTAGAAAAAACAACATATGGAAGAATTATAAAAGCACTGTTGTGGAGGAGACGGGCCTGAGGGGTTGTCTTTAGACGAATGGGATTTTTTTTTTTTTTTGTGTAGACTAATACAAAAGTAATCCCTCGCAATCATCATTTACAACCCACTAAGAGTGTGTGGTGGAGTATTTTTCTTTAGAGACTCTGCCCTCTGCCTGTACTTTCCTTTCTGTTATTATTTTCTGTGTTTGGGAGATTTATGGATGTGTACCCCCAGAGCACCAAGGTGAGGTTGGGATTTAAAAAAAGGCAGTGACCAGGTGCCAGACTGTAAGAAGTACATATGCCCTCTATACACTGTGCGATTTTAGCAATCTTATAAGACCATTGCATGACACGCTGTGAGACGTGGATCTAATAAACTTTGGTACGACGTCAAGTTTGATGTGTGTAGATTGTACAATGGCCGTTTACTACTGAATCGCAGGTTATGATGTACGTCAATATGCAATGTCATCAGCGTGCACCGCATCAGTGTACGTCATCCATCTGCGCCACCATAGGTAGCTTGCTCACCTGGAAGTTGCAGTTCCTCCGCAGTTTCCTTCCATGCAGTGTCTTTTTTCTCGCAATCATGATAGCAGCTGGAGGAAACCTCAAATCAACAAGGCTTCTGCTGCCACAGCTCCACCAAACTTTGCTCTTTCTTGGAGTTCCACAGACTTCTTTTTGTTCATTTTTACTCCATGGCAAGCGATCATTTGTTTGGGTTTAGCGCTGGTGTCGCTGTGACCATTGTGTCATTTCGTGCTGCATTTCTATTGGTTGATTAGTAGACGTAGGTTGTAGCAGCTGTCACACTGAGATAGTCATCCTAAATTTCTGACACCTTCAGAATTTTATCTCAGGTTATCTTTGGTCGCAAGATGTTGACAACAGCCGTCCTTGAACCTGTCTCACAGTGCGACGTAAGACCACCGTTTTAGAGCAACGACCAAAGATATCGCCACATTTCTCCCACGATGGTCATCTTTCGTCTGGGACAGCCCAAAATTGCACAGTGTATACCGGCCATAAGCGGAAGCTACAAAAAACATGGACTGTGCAGCAAACAAACGCAAATATGGCAAATCTGAGTTGAGCTTTCACTTCAAAGTAGTTGACAATTCCTGCAAGGTATACCTGGCCATGAGTCCACAGTGCCAAAGGAGCTTCCAATGGGCTTTATATCAGAGGGAAGTCAGACTGTATCATGGTGAGCAGAGCACAGAAGGGGGTTTAAGTGTGGGAATAGTCTGTTTTTAAGTGCCCTAAAAAAATCATATAATGTAGAATAGAATAGTATACAATAATTGTTGTAGTTGTTTTCACAAAGAAATGTAATTTTACTGTCCTGATCATGGACTAACTTTTGTCCACAGAAGGGGCTTCTTGTTTAAAAGCAAGGGGTACTCAAGAGGAGTTCATCGCCCGAGTTGAAGTTAGTTTAGTTCAGGTGCAGACCTGCTGAAAGCTTGCTGCAAGCTGCACGACAGCCATGGGCCTAGCCTCGCCTAACCTGTCTTTTCTTTATGTTCTTTTGAGTAGTTTTTATACATTTATTCTTTTTTTCTCCAGTTTTTAAAATAGAATTTTGTTTTCACAACGTGAACCAGAACCAGCCTGACCTGCTTGTTGGTGTTCACTTCAAATAAAACATCAACTCACAGCTTGTTGTTTTTATTAAAATGGGTGGAGCAGTTTCTATTTAAACTCAGTGTTGGAAATAATGGAGTTGAACACTCTTGACAAAAGTCCAGTAGGACCGAAACAAACTGAAAAGCTCAAGACTCAAGTGATATTTTCCGACGCACCTGCACCTGAGACAGTTGGATGTGTGAATACCTTTCTTCAAATTAAAAATAAAAAAAGCTCTAGAAACCAACTGTGCTTTACCTGCCCAGCACTGAACAGCAGACAGAGAAAGTTAGCAACTAGCTGATGAACACAGTCGAGCATTAAGCGGCTACAGTGTCAAACATTTCCCTCAAGAGTTGGTGGAGACCAAAAATAGAGTTAAAGAGAGTAAATACTAGAATTACATTCACCAGGTGGACGGAGGCACGACTCCAGATGAATGCTATTGTTGCTTCCTAACTCCTGGATGTGTAAAATATTATCAATATCAATATCAATATCAATATTGTGTTCACAACTTATTTCCGTTGCCCAAAATATCATTTATAGCACATTCTAAAAAGCCAAATCCAGTATTTCTCACTTCTTTTTTTGGAATATCCTTCCATAATCTCATGTTTCCTAATTATCACAGCAGCCAAGTGATAATGAGGAAACATTATTTGAAAATTCACTCACAAAAAACAATTAACTCACAATTTACCACCAACTGCAATGATGGATGTAACTCTTGAGTGTTGTTTATGAGGCATTCATCCTGTTAGTTTTCCAGATAAAACCCACGAGACAACCACAGAGCTGCTGTTTAGATTCACAGCAGCAGGAGAGCCAACATTAACTGGCTGTTGATTACTATGAGGAGTTACAAGTTAATCTATATATCTGGGCTGGGAAGTTTGTTTACTGTCTTATTAGCTGCTAAGAGTTTGTGTGTTTGTGAATCATACCTTTGGCAACTTGGACCCCATCCTTTGAAATGTTCCAGTCTACATCCACGCCTACAGCACCCCAGCTGATGAGTGTGAACTCTAGGCTCTTATTGGCTACAGCAAGAGCTGGACAATGCAGCTCCAGCTTGGGAGGAAGTGTCACGGTCACGTCTCCGCGTGCTGAGAACTGCAAATATGAAACAAAATGTTAAAATCACATGACATTTTGTTGTGTTCAAAAGAACTGGAGAAAAAAAAAAGATTTCCTGTTTTCCTCTCGTACCTCCTTGTGTCCAGCCCAGGCCATCAAACTGACCGCGTAGTGTCCCGGAAGTCCGTATTTGTGAGTTGCTGTGGTGACCCCTGTTCCTGTAGTGTTGACCCGAGATGAAAGGTCACCAAAGTCCCAGGACAGTGTCACCGGAGTGACAGAGGACACAGCGGAGAAACTGATGCGATCGTGGACACTTTGCAGTGGGAGAGGCTTCAGTGAGACCGTGAAGTCCACCACAAACACGTCATCAGCCAGAGTCCAATCACACTCCTGTGCACAGAGGGAACCACGTGAGGAAGAGGTTATTGTGTTAATATGCACAAATATTTTAAAGTCAAATAAAACTTTCCATACTGTTAATTGTTATGCTGTTTGTGGTTTTACGATTTTTTTTTTATGGTTTTGAATAAGAACTTATTAACTGCTCTGATTTAAAATAAACAAATCTTGATTTTCAATTGGAGTTTTGGGTTACTACTCTTGAGCTGCTCTGTGCAGCAGCCCTGCGGGAAATCTGAGGATGTAGGGAAGTCATTCAAGCCACAGAGGGAAGTTGCTGGTAGATTATAGGAAGGTTTAGAGGAAATCCTGAATGCTGTGTTTACAAAAGGAGAAACAAAGCAAGCGGTGGAAGCTACACTAACGGAGCTCTTTGACATCTGAACATCTCAGAGCGCAATATAACTCTCTGGGACGACCATGTGTTGCGTACCTTCATAACATGGGGGTTTGTACAGGCAGCAGAACACTGAGATTCGCTGATGAGGTTCGGCTCTGAGTTTGTGCTGCAGAGGCACTCGTGGCTAGTTCCCAAGCCCCCATAGCGGTGTGACGCAGCAAAACACACGCTGTTACACTGCTCACGTGTGAAGTTTCCGGGTGTGGAGGAAGAGAAGATAACAAGCTCGCTCAGTCCTCCTCCTCCACTGCTGCTGTCCTCCAGACAAGCTGCATAGGTCCGACCTGAAAAGAAGGAAAGGTTCTCAGTTCAGTTAACTACTTTAACCAGCATCAGACCTCCTCTCTGCAAACCAGCACAAGGAATCAAAAAAGAGTTTCTAAAACCCTGAAAGCACTTCACGTTGATTATGCATTTTCATGGATTTACTTTTTTTGGCCTGTTAGCTAATAGCTTAGAGCCCTTGACTGATGTCCTTCTTTCCCTGCAGTCAGCTAGAGAGACTTAATTTTATGCCTGGTAAATCCCTCAACTTCTATTATGGTATACATAAATCTGAAAAGACAAGATAGGTTTGCTGCCAAACAGGAGAGAAGATTAATGAAAAAAGAGATCTGGAATTTTTGTGGCATTTAAATGTAACATCCAAGTGTGTGTTTGTTTCATACCACAGGTGAGCTGGCTGATGTTGAGCAGAGGTTGGTTGCGCAGCTCAGGAGGGTGGTTGCAGAGCATGGCGTCTGGGCGTCGAACTCTCACCCCATTTCCCTTAAGCCAGCGGACCAGCCGGAACAGCTTACAGTCACACTCAAAGGGGTTACTGCTCAGGTCACTGGAGGAGAGGAGGGCAGAGAAGAAGTGGATCAGTGATGGTGAAACCTGACAACACTCACAAAGATGGGGGGCACTAAAGCCACTGTAAATAGAACCGCACAGTATGTGCTGATAGCACAGTCCATTCAGGCTGAAATCAATTACTGTGTGTGTCATGTTGGTAAATGGTTCTTTAAATGATGTGAGAACAAGCTACAGCAAAGCTGGCAGAACATTCTGAGTCTTATCATGTGATTAGCTGATAAACCAGGCAGTTATGTTTTCAATGATTTCTGATAAAGTGCTGAAATTACACAAAGTAGTTTGAGATAATGAACATTTTGCAATATTAAAATAACTTCACCTGAATTTACATCTAACATTTAAAAATCACACAAAAAGTGACAGTTCAGATTAAGTAGTATTATTAGGAGCAGTATCATTAAAATAATACTCCAACATTTTGGACAGTACACTAGTTTGCTGACTTAATGGAGTTAGATAAGATAAGATAAGATAAGATAAGATAAGATAAGATATATTTCATTGAGGGAAATTTTGCTTGGGCAATAGCACTACACCCAGCTGCAATCAATGTGAAACAATACAAAGTCAACATGACAGTATAGTGGTACATCACAGACATAATAAATTACATACAACAATAATAAAAGCAGAGGAAAATATTGTGCATGCTTTGAGAAAGATATAAATCCATGGAATTGTTGAAATGAGAAGGTCATAACAACCATAAAACCAAAGTACATAACAGTGTTGATTTTGACAACTATTTTAGATTAAGTCTTAGTCTTGAGAGCAAAATTCCTATTAGTTTGACACACATTTTTATCCTTCATAGTTTTAGTTGACGAAAACTCTGTTTTAGTCTATGAAAATTCATGACATTTTCGTCATTACTTTTTGTCAATATATTTTCTATTTGTTTTTTATCTTTAAACTAATCTAATTAGGCTAATTCATGTATCGGAAATTAGAATCACAGTGACAGGTTGTATAAAAATGTCATTAAAACAATTTTTTTTACAACTACAAATAATTTCTGAACACGTATAAACTGTCATTTCTCCAGCACGTGCTATAACCCTATAGCAGAGCTAGGCTAGCTTTTCCCCCTTGCTTACAGAGATTTTTTTCCATGGGCAGACATCTTGGACTTTAATAGCACAAGTCTAACTAATAACCTTAATGACAGCTCTGCTCCACTGATGTGTCCCCATAAGTCACACCGGTGAGCTTGGTTGCACAATAGCACAGCCCTTGAACCAGAACGGCTAAATGTGCTTTTGCTGCTGTGACATATTATAATGTCTGCCACAAATAATGAATACAGCTTTTCTGTTGCAGAAAATGAATACGGCTTCTCTATGGCAAATATTCTGATATGTGAGAGAAAGAAAGAGTTAATTAAGACAGAGTATGACGGGAAATTATGGGAAATGAAGGTGAAATAGTGATTGAAAGGACAGGTGAACAGAAGAAAAAGAAATATTGTAGAGACAAAGGTGAATAAATGAAGCACGAGATGGAAGGAGAAAGGAAAGACAGCACAAAAGGGACAATAAGATTACATGACACGCGTCCATTACCGGCCGGCCCGTTTAGCCTTGCTCAGTTGCCCTCTGTGCAAGAAGAAAACTCATATCTCATCTACGGACCTTGTGAGGAATAATTACTACTCACTGCCTCCCACTCTGGTCTGAAATGGAGTTTCATTCATCTTGAGTGTAGGCGAGGAAACTTGCAGCTTACTTAAGCATGTGTGATCAGATGGATGTGTGATGTTGTACATATGCTTCTATACTTGTGTGTGAAAAAATAGGTTCTAATTACATTTGATTTACCCTGTCATATTTCCATATTATTTGGAGAGACAAAGAGTTAGAGAGAGACATACTGTAGGATGAACTGGGATTACTTACATTTGAGTTAAGTTGCGCAGGTTGTCACATCTGTCTTCTATGGTGGTGATTTTGTTGTTACTCAAGTCGCTGGTGGAAACAGAAGACACAAATCACGTGTGACATTAAAACTTTGGTCTTGGCGCTGATTTTTGGCAGTTACTATGATTCTGACATTTGCAAAATGAATACGGTGTGGGTTTGTCATTGAACAAAAAAAGTGAGGCCAATAACTGAGTCACTGGATGAATAAATATGTGAAGCTGCTTCTTCCACACTACTATCCGATTGTAAAAATGACTTTTAGTGTCGTGTTCATCAAAACGGATCACGTAATCACATCTTCTTTACACACAAAATATTACTCATACAAATCAAATATATAACACAACACAAAGCAAACAAAAAACAAACTGAAGCCCACACAGCTGAAGTGCTGAGTAAGGGATAGCATTCAGACTTTTGATGTTTCTTTCTGTGTTATTTCCACGCTTCTTTTTCTTTACTCCTCCTCGCCCTCCTTTTCCTTCTCCACTCATGATCTCCTTCTCCCTCCCTCTCTTCTCTATCCAGTAGGCTACATAATGGGGCCGTTGTGTGGTGGTTTTGGAAGGAACTGATGGAAACCACCAGAGTCCTCTCTCAACACACACACACACACACACACACACACAAACATGTGCTTAAACACCCATTCAATGGGTGGAAGAAATAAGGTAATGGATGGAGGAAGGGAGAGATGGAGCGAGGGATGGAGGGAGGCAGTGGGAGCCTGGAGCGGTAAGCTGTAATTGAAGTTAATCGCACTGTGATTGGTGTGTGTGCGTGCACGTGTGGGTATGTGTGTGTGCAGCGTACAGTATGTGTGCTTTTTTTTGTGTCCAGCGTGCTTACACCAGGGATTTCTGCCTACTTAAATCCAGACTAAACCAAGCCTTTCTCTCTTTTGCTTTCTTTTTCATCTTCCCCACTCTCCTCTCGACCTTGGGTGTGCCAGGTCCTTATCTTCTCTAGACCTTGTACTCACAGGATTGACAGCGGCCCAGAGCAGAACAATCCTCTGGGGAGAATATTGATCCTGTTCCCTTGAAGATACCTGAAAGATAGATAGAGACATATAGTTAGGTGGTTCGACGGCGATGTGGATAGATTTGATATGGATGAAACCATATGAACACATAATGCCGTGTGTACTCACAGCTCTCGGAGACCAGTGAGACGATCTTGCAGGCTGGTATCAAGGGAGGAGATGTGGTTCTTGGAAAGATCTCTGCGGGAACAAACCAACATGTCCACATTTAAAATGCATGACGGGGCAAGATGATTGCAAGCACACACACTCGCACAGTCTCATGAGACGCTACAAGTAATTTACCATAGGATGCGGCTGTTAAAGCGCTGGGAAATTAAAATAAATGACAGCAAAGGAGAGAGAGAGTGAAACATTTAGTTCATTTAAACAGAGGAGGAAGATAAATAAAACCAGACGCACTAAATGTGATGTAGATGTGCCGAGGAACACAACACTAAGAACCATGAAGGATTTTCTGTTTTGCTTTTTCAATAACACATCATAATACAGCTGTATCAAATCATGGTAACTATCAACTTTTTAGGAGCTACCAAAACAGTTCTGTTTAAAATTGTTGACCTTTAGTTTTTTCAGTTTATTCAGTCAATGTTTTCACCAGCTGGGTCAGATAGCTCACTTCTTACTTACTCCTAACTCATAAATAAAGTTGCATGTACAGTAATTCCTTTATCTTTTGCCTTCTGTTTAGAGAGTGACATAAAACGTTCCCAGCCTGGGGTCAAAATGATTGTGTGGTGTGTGTGTGTGTGTGTGTGTGTGTGTGTGTGTGAGATCCTGAACTAGACACCTCAAGTAACATGTAATTTCTTCATCAAAATTAAGTTTTGAGGACCACTGATACTGAAAGGGCATTCTTTTATAAATTTGGGGGACTCACAAAGACAGATTTCGCTTGCTTTGGTCTGAATCAGGGACTAATTTTGTTAGAAAGTTGCATAATTGCCGAGAGGTGGCTCGTGTTCTCACGGCAGCATTTACAAGTGGACCAGATCAAATGCCTTGCGCGAGAAAGCTGCTCTTGATTTGTCAGAATTTCCATGCGGGAAAAATCCAGGAAGTAAACAAAACGCTGAAGAAGAGTACACTTGCAAGATAAATGCGACACTTTCTAATGTCACAATGGAGGGACAACTACGCAGGTTGATTTTAGCGCTAGTCATTGTGCACTATATTGCTGTCATTGTTCATTTTAGTCAAACCATATAGTTTGACAACGAGGTGCGGCTCCAACTATATCCAACAATATTTTGATGCATTGGATGTGCCGAAATCCTCCAGGACTGTAACATGCTCATGTTTAACCCAAACAATGCGTAATGTGACTGCAGTTGGTTCTGATCGAGGTTAGAACACGTTCTCACCACAAATGAACCGCACTAGAGTTTGGTTGTAACTGGATCAAGACCACCTCTTCAAGAAGGCCTAAGTCTGGTTGTATTGGCACACAATCGGTGTGTGTGATTGCTGTGTTCACACCTGCCCAAATAAACCGCACTTAGGGGGCAAATGAACTTGATTTCAATTGAACCGAACCAAACAGGGCAGGTGTGAAAGCACCCTTAGTCTAGCATGGGTCAAGCTCCTACATTTCCCACAATGCAAACAATATCAAACATTTGTACGACTCTGTCTGCCTGGTAAACACCACCTTCTTTCAAATTCAATGCCCCCAGTTTGCAACACACTTAAAGGAAAATTAAAAAGAAAAGCTGATGACATCACTTTGAGATCATCAGGGCTATTTTCTCAAATTATATAAAAAAAACAACAACAATGATGTCATGTTTTCAGATCACTTTCAGTTAGCCACTGTTTTAGCCTTGAAGATATAATTAGTCACTATGACAACATGAGTAACTACAGAAGCCCAGAGAGGAAAGCAAGATCTTTTTATCTGGTGACCATTTTTCTATGTATGTGTCTCCTGTCCGAGAAAGGAGGTGATTTTTTTTTTTTACCCATTTTCACAGATGGACAATATTTTTTTAAATTACTATAAAGAAAATGATCACCAGGAAAAAAACGATGCTTGCCTCTTAGGGCTTCTGTAAATAACAAATTTCTAATCTTTGTTGTTAATGTTAAATTTTATCAGGATTTTTTTTTAATTCATAGACAGGAGGTTTAAGGTCCACAACCATCATTCCCTGATTTTTGATTGTCTGTAACTCAATTCTTAACTCTCTTGTTCTTACAAACAATGAAAAATGTAACAGGTTTTTAGTACATAATAGAATTATATTTTATGAAACCCCAACCCTCTAAAGTCAAATAATTGCTCCTTTCTGGCGTCTGTCCTTATTTAATCCTTTTAAAATTTTCAATTATTTTTGTATAATATCTATCATTTATTTGTTTTTAGTTTACTTGTCTTTGCCCTGATGTGAACATTTTTTGCAAAATAAATTTTTGTGATTTAAAAAACAAAACAAAACAAAAAAAGACAAATTGAACCACCAGAAACACAGAATACTGTTTGCACAAGCTGAGTAGTACTCCTCATGACAAGTAGCCTGACCTCCATTATTACAATTGGCAGAACGTTGTTTAAATGACACTTGTTGGGTCATGGTCATTTCTGCGCCCTTAAATCACAGCCTTATCTAAGAGAGGCTCACCATTACGAAACCACGTATGAAATGATACCATACAGCTTTAAAGCTCCAGTGAGAATGAAGACGCGGGTTGCCTAATAATGTGATTAATGGGTTAATTTGGCCCATTGGGTTTGTGAGTGTCTGGGAATAATTTTCAATTAAACAGTAGGAAGTAAACCCCTGTGAGTCAGGATGTGAATGAAGGGTGGAGAAGGCCAACTAATGAGGAAACTATTGTAAATGTCACTCGCCCACATTCATGTAGCCATATACTGCAATCATTGTTCCTTGTTAAAGTCTCATGTCCAGCACAGGTGATCTCATTCATGAAATGTCAGTCAATCTGTGAGTAGATCTGCAGATAAAAAACCTTGGTACTAGAAACCTACACCAGATTCATGGATGCCAAAGGAAACTCCGATTTGATGGTAGGCATGTGTGCATGTTCACGAATAGTAAACTGACAGTGTGCTCCTGCTTGTCAGCAATTAGCAAACATCCTCGACTATGAATAGCCAGTGACCACCATATATATAGGAGGTAATAATTACTATCGATAGGTGCATCCTGTCGACCTGCCAACATGGGGCAAACAAAGAAAAATGAAGAAAGAAAAAAATAAATAGAAACAGAAACAGAAATAAAAAAGATGTGGGGAGTAAAGGCAACAGTGGTGCAAGTGGTAATCGGAGCACTCAGGGCTGTGACCTCCAAACTGGGAGAGTGGCTCATCTGAGGTCTCTATCCAGAAGAGTGCAGTCCTAGGAGCAGCTAAGATACTATTTTACTATTATTTATATATTATTTTAATATCATTGGTGTGACAAGGACAGGTAGATTAGAGTTGGAAGGAGGTAACGGATGTCGTTAACTCAGTGTCTTCTGTTGTAAGAACCACCAAAGAAGTTAAATAAAAATGGTTTGATATGACACTTGATGCAATAACAACCTACAGTAGGAGGCTCTTCACAGCTACAGATGAGCGCATTACTTGCATCATCTGAGAGACCTCTCTGACAGGAATTACTCCTGAAAGAGAAAGCGACATGCCTCCACTGGAGCGTGTTAAATTTAAGTGTTAAATTGCTGTACATTCTGACAGCTGTTGATGATAGCTTAGTGTGGGGTCAGTAACGTGGGTCTCACAGTCAAACAGAAGATAAATTTGTGGAGGTCTATCTCCTGATTGAATCAAGTGGGAACAGGTTGCCAGAAATGTAGAAAAAAGACCATTTAAATAACCCATTTACAATTTGAAGAAATCTAAGCTAAAGCTTTAATCTGCTAAATACCAACTAATTAAACTAATTGTGTTATATTTCTAATCTTTTGTCACATTTAACTGAGGTGTTTCAAAGGCATCTGTGTATTGTGAACATAATGGAGCGCAGTACGAATTAAGATTGTAATTTCTAATAATTACTCAGTCAGAAGCAGGTGCAGATTTTGTTAGTGCCTACGAACAAGATCGAAGCTACTAACATACTGATAAATGCCAAAATACACGTAAATTTCCTTCTGCAAAGAGTTTACACATAATTTCGTTCTGCTCATGTTTCATGAATGAGACCCAGTGAGTATAATTGATCACTTGCATTCTTCCTTCTTTACCAGTGACAAGATGAGGCAAGCGGAGGTGCAAGATGAGCAAAACAGTGAGAACCAGCAGACAGGGTTCACTGTGATATTGACATGATCAAAGGAATTACTCACATTCGGAAATGTTCTGTATTACTTTACTTTTAAACTGCCAAATTTGGGGAATACAAATGCAATTTTCTTTTTTTACAATTTCAAGCAGACAAATTCTCCTCTAATGTGTTACTGGCCATTTGATGATCTTGGTTATTTTTAAAAATTTTATTATTGACACAAATGCACAAACCTGATCAATACTAGAGTTCTGAGGAAAATACTGATATCAATATTTGACTGTTAAATTCTGATATAATACTGTTACTTGGCAATATTGTTTTTGCATAACCATAGAATATAATATTTTTAATAAGGACCCCATCAATGTGATTATTGAAGAAATATATGTGCAGTAACAGTGCAGTGTATCTAAGTATACGCCAGCTAACAAAGTTCTACTGAGCATATAGTATAAAATGTGCACACTTCACACTGCATACACTCTGTTAAAGCATAACTTTGGTATTTTCCTATTTCCTTTTTTCCCATGGTTTTAAGTGACTAATGGGAACAACAATTTTTGAAACTGGTCCAGTGTTGAGTAAGAGGGCTGCAGCTGGCAGCCACGAAACATACTCTAGGTGTTTGACAACATCGAGGAAAGGATCCCTACAGAGATAGACCTTTTGAATAAAGAGAAAGATCCTTTTTGTTTAACTAAAACAGACCCAAAATTGCCATCGTCAAAGCCACCAGATTCCATTAAAAAAAAAAACCAAAAAAAAAACAGTAATATTATCATGGTACAACACACTTCGTTCAAAATCAACAGAAACAAAATAAAGCTCACAAAAGCTGTTTAGCTTTGTCTTTCCACTGTTCCAACGATCACCAACTCTGGTTTCATTGAAATAAATCCTTAATTCACCCAAATAGATAGGAAAA